GACCAAGACCCGAGCCAGCGGACTCACAGTGACCACGCGGAGAGACGCAGGAGCAGGGAGGACGGCCCACGGGACAGCGCCGTGGACAGCGCCGACTGTCGCCTGGCCCGCCAGGCCCGCTCGCCGCCGCCCCACCACAGGGCCCCGGGTGCACGCAGGACGCCTGCCCCACTCTCCGCACCAGGACCCGCGGAGGGACAGCGGAGGGACAAGCGCACCACGGCGCCCTGCCTCCTACACCCGGGAAAGAAGGAAAGAGACGACGGACCCACGCCCCACAGCCAACCTGAGCTGAGACCCAGAGGAACAGGGTTCCAAGCTCACAGCCAATCCGAGCTGAGCGCCACCTTCCCACAGCCAATCCGAGCGCTCTGAGCACTCCAGCACCACCCACACCCCACAGCCAATCTGAGCTGAGCTCCACAGCTCACAGCCAATCGGAGCTGAGCCCCCGTGGGAAAGGGCTCAGCCACACCCCACAGCCAATAGATGCTGAACTCCCAGGTGATTGGGGCACCGCCCATATCCCACAACCAATCAGAGATGAACTCCCAGGTGACTAGGGCTCCACCCATATCCCACAACCAATCAGAGATGAACTCCCAGGTGACTAGGGCTCCGCCCATATCCCACAGCCAATCAGAGATGAATTCCCAGGTGACTAGGGCTCCGCCCATATCCCACAGCCAATCAGAGATGAACTCCCAGGTGACTAGGGCTCCACCCATATCCCACAACCAATCAGAGATGAACTCCCAGGTGACTAGGGCTCCGCCCATATCCCACAGCCAATCAGAGATGAATTCCCAGGTGACTAGGGCTCCGCCCATATCCCACAGCCAATCAGAGATGAACTCCCAGGTGACTAGGGCTCCACCCATATCCCACAACCAATCAGAGATGAACTCCCAGATGACTAGGGCTCCGCCCATATCCCACAGCCAATCAGAGATGAATTCCCAGGTGACTAGGGCTCCGCCCATATCCCACAGCCAATCAGGGATGAACTCCCAGGTGACTAGGGCTCCGCCCATATCCCACAGCCAATCAGAGAGGAATTCCCAGGTGACTAGGGCTCCGCCCATATCCCACAGCCAATCAGGGATGAACTCCCAGGTGACTAGGGCTCCACCCATATCCCACAGCCAATCAGAGATGAACTCATACGAACGGCTCCACGCCCACCCTGCAGCCAATCGGCGCTGAGTTCCAATGGGAACAGAGCCCCGCCTATCACCCAAAGCCTCTCAGAGCCAAGCTCCCACGTTGGCCAGACTCCACCCATCTCCTGTAACCATTCAGAGCTGAGCTTCCACGTGGGTAGAACCCCACCCTATTCCACAACCAATCAGAGTTGAGTTCCCACGTGGGCGACCCCCCCCATCCTGTAACCAATCCGAGCTAAGCGCTCATGACCACAGGGTTCCGCCCACAGCTCACAGCCAATCAGCGCTGAGCCGGTCTCCGTGTGCGCGCCCCCGCTTTAGAGGCAGGTCTAAGCAGACGTCGGACTGCTGCGCCCGCATCAGGCCAGTGGTGACCTGTCCCCCGGCGGTCTCGGACGGGGCACCGGGTGCCCGCGGTGCTGAGGGGCGGCTAGGGTGCAGGCCGGGCCCATGCCCCTCCCCGCCCTGCAGGCGCCCACCGCCCAGGCCGCCCAGCTACGAGGGGACTCGGGCGCAGCCCCCAGGCAGCCCCAAGCCTCCTGAGCGGAACGTGGGGTGCGGGGGGCGCGTGGAGACCCCCACCAGTCTCTGCTTTGACTGAGGGAACCGCTTGCACTTTCCTTTGGGGATCCACCGGCCACCCGACACGTGATGGCCTGGAGCCTGGGTGGGGTGGGGGACGCAGAGGGCAGCCCCTCTCCCCCCGGCCCCGCCCCAGCCCGGGAACACGTCGAGAGGTGTGGGAGGGCTGGCCGGCCGAGGAGGGACTGTCCATGGGAGCCTGTCGTGACCGCCTGGGCCACGCCAATAAATCCAAAACAACACCTGCGCTGAGGCTGAGGGGTCCCTGAAACAGCTGCACAGCCGCGCTATGCCCCCCACGCTGGAGCCGACCCCCAGCTCCCACGGGCGCCCCCACCCTTGAAAGAAGAGCAGTGGGCAGAGGCACCTACAGGGGTGAGCGAGGGACGTGGCTTCTTCCCAGAGCGCCCTGGGCTAAGGCCGCTGTAGGGGGCGCGGCCGCAGGCTCTGAGTCCTTGGGGATGGTGGTCCTGGAGGCGTGTGCCTGGCTGGGCGGCCCGGCCTGCAGCCACAGGGAGCACGCAGAGAACTGAGGCCCAACTCCCAGTCCCCTCAGCAGCGCGGATGGGGGGGCGGCTCTGAGGGGCTCCGGCAGGTGGAAAGGGGGGATTAACCCAACGTGAGCTCAGCCTAAGCCCGTCTGCAATCAAATCAAACCCAGCTCACAGCTGCCCAGGGAGCCAGCTGTTGGCCTGCAGCCCTGCCAAGGGCCTCGCTTCCCACCTGACCCAGCCAACCCCCCCCCCCCACTCGGGCCATCTGCACCCGGTTCCCCAGGTGACTGCAGTTGAGGACAAACGTGGGAAGCCGAGGCTGAGGAGTCAAGTTCAGCTCATCCTCCACCCCGGGAACCCTTCCCTCCCCAACCCCCCCAGCCGACCCTCCCGGTCTTAGCCCAGACCCCTCCTCCAGGCCCTCTGCCCTAAGCCAAGCTGCCCTCACTACCCCTACCTGAACCCCTTCTCCTGTGGTCAGAAAGAGGTCATGAAAGGACAGGTGGCTGGGGTCTGCGGGAAGCCCTTGGCCAGGACCAGGACGGACCTCCCAGAGCAGGTGCTGGGAGCGGGCACTGAGGTCCAGCTGTCCAGTCCACGCCAGGTGGAACCCCACAGCCTGTGGTGCCAGCCCCACTTCCGGGGTTCAGCCCAGTGAGCCGGCGGAGGCCTGGGCACTACTCATGGGTGGCGAGAGGGACTGCTGAGCCGGCCAGCCTCATTCTCCCCGCCTTGTCCACTCGGGGCCCGAGAGGTTGGGGCTGGGGGCTGGCTCGGGGGCTCACGGACACCGACACTCACCCCATCGCCCGGTGACCACAACTCCAAGCTCCGTGTCCGAGAGCAGGGGTGATGGGGAGGCTCCTTGCAGCAGTCAGAAGGGGGAGCAGAAGTGGTGATAATGGGACACCGGCACCCAAGAATGCACCGCCAGGTCCCACAGAGCAGCCCGGTGGCATTGCTCAGGTCCCTGGATGTACCCAGGAGGGCAGGAGAGCTTAGAGCTCAGGCCTGGTGTGGGCGAGCCCCTTGGCACCCCAGCACTGCCAGAGTGTCCGTCGGCTCAGATGGCTCCCCACGGCAGCCTGTCCCGAGGCCAGCTCCAGCAGGCTGGGGGGCAGACCGGGGGGCAGGGGGGTCTGTGGCAGGGTGGCTGCTCGCTCATGGTGCTCCCAGGGATGCTGCGGGGACAGTGGCTGAGGGACCAGCCAGCCCTGGTCAGAAAGAGGAACGACAGGCCACGCCTCTCCCTCGCTCTCTCTCCTTCTCCCTCGCTCTCTCTCCTCCTGCTCTCTCTGCATCTCTTTCCCTCTCCCTCTGTCACTCACTCTTTCCCTCACCCCCTCACACACACACACACACACACACACACACACTCAAGACTCACACACCGACACTCTCACACTGACCTGTTCTCACACACATACACCCTCACACACATAAACACGACACTCTCACATTGACCCAATTCTCTCTCTCACACACACTCTGACACACTGATGCATTCTCACACCCTCACAGACACACCTGACACTCACACTAACCCATTCACACACACGCAGACACACCTGACACTCACACTGACCCATTCACACACACACTGACCCACTCTCATACACACAGACACACTGAGCATTCACACACATGCAGACACAATGACCCACTCTCACACTCATTCAGGTGCTAACACACAGATGCTCACACTGACCTACTCACACTCAATCTCCACACACACAATGACACACTGACCCACTCACACACACTCAGATCCTTACACTCACAGACTCACACTCAGATCCTCACAAACACACACCCTCACACTGACCCACTCTCCCACAGATTGTCACAAACACACTCTCACACTAACCCACTTTCACACACTCACATTCTGACAACTCTCCTCTCACACATACACTCACTGATATTCACACTGACCCACTCTCACACTCAGATCCTCACACACACACACTGACCCACTCACACTCACACACACTTACACAGTGACCCACTCACACACACTCACACTAACCCACTTTCACACACTCACACTCAGATCCTCACACACACACACTGATGCTCACACTGACCCACTCACTCAGAACCTCACACTCACACTGACCCACTCTCACACACAGACACACACACTGACCCACTCTCACATACACTGACACACATACTAACCCACTCACACTCGGATCCTCACACACACTGACACCAGTCGCGTAGGTGGTCTTGTGCACACACACGCTCACACACCCCCTCACGTGCTCTCATGCACTCACCGGTCACACTCCTGCCCCACACATGCACACACTCATGCACACTCAGCGCCCCCCAAGCCCCCCACACCAGCGCACACCACACTGTGCCCTGTCCTTGCCCAGGACACCCCCGGGCACCCCCAGCCATGGCCAGCCCTGCTCTCTCCAGGCCGCACCAGGGAGCGGACACGAGTGTCCCAGCCTTGGCCAGCCACTGTGCCCAGGGACGGGGTCGCCTGTCCCCCACTGTTCCCGCTCTGACCAGCACCTTGGCCGGGCGGCTGAGGAGAAATGCTTCCCACAGTTGCTCGAGCCCTCTGCTGTGCCACGGCGATGCCTCAGTTTCCCTGTGGCAGCCGGCAGAGGCAGCTGAGTGAGCCCCTCCCCTCAGCATCTCCCAGTGTTTTCCCTGGGGACCGAGAGGGGCCGTTCTGGGCCCTCTTGGGGTGGGGAAAGCAGGGTGGGTGCAGGCTCCCACCGTCCTCCTCTCCCCACAGCCTGGCGGCCTCCATAGAGGCGGACGCCGCACGCTCGACGCCCAAAGCCATGTCGCCCTCGGACTTCCTGGACAAGCTCATGGGACGGACGTCGGGGTACGATGCCCGGATCAGGCCCAACTTTAAAGGTAGGGCCAGGGGGCCAGAGCAGTAGCACAGCGGGGAGGGTGCTTGCCTTGCATGCAGCCAACCTGGGTTCAGTCCCCCGAGCACCGCCAGGGGTAAATCCTGAGTGCAGAGCCAGGAGTAACCCCTGAGCATCACTGGATGTGACCCCCCCCAAAAAAAAAAGAACCAAGAAAAAGGAAGGGATGGCCCCACTGGTCCCGACTGCCCGGGGGGCTCTGCAGGGCTAGTGTTGCTCCCCCCACCCCCACTGAGCCTCTGCGGCCAGGATGTGAGAGGCCACCCCCCACACCTGACAGGAGAGGCAGGTGGGGTCTTTCCCGGCCGTAGGTGCCCTGCACCGAGTCCCGCCCACCCACATCACTGGCACAGGCTTCCGCCCTTCCGCCTGTTCCAAGGTGGCGGTTGCCGGCCCACACTTGAGCCCCTCAGAGTGGGGTGTGATGGGCGTGTGCGGGAGAGGCGGGGGCACCCCAGGGCCCGTGACAGCCAGTCCTAAGCCGCTGGGGGCCGAGGGGGGCCCATCCTGAGCCACAGGCTGGGGGCTGCCCCCCCAGCTCAGCCTGCTGACCCAGGAGAACCCCCAGGGTCTGGGCCCACCCTGCCCCTGGGTCAGGCGCCCCCTGCCCAGAGAGCGAGACCCAATCAGCCAAGCACACAGCGTCTGCGGCTGGGGCAGCGCCTCTCCTGAGGGGGACATGAGTGTGGAGGTCACGGCGGCAGGGCCCTCAGGGGCCCCAAGGCAGCTGGCCCGAGCCCCAGCCCCAGAGAGGCCCCCAACCACGCCCCTTTGGCAAGGAGTCGAGACGCTGGAAGCTGCCTCCCTCCACCGCTGGCCGCTCCTGGCTGGCTGGACACTCACCAGGCCCTCCTATGGTGGCAGGTGGGGGGCACCCAGCGCCAGGGTGCCCAACTGGGCACTAAGGGCCCCGCCAGAACACGCTTCCTGTGGCTCTTGCCAAGGCAGGAGAGGGAGGGACGCATGCAGGACCGGACATGCACTGGCCAGGTGGGCTGGGCCTGGGGACACTCTCACCCCGCCCAGATCTCCTAGAGGGGGAGCTAGCCGGGTCAGCACAGTGACCGCCGCCCCATGAGAAGACTGGGTGGGGGCTGAGGAGAAGCGCAGGGGGAGGACACTGGCCTGGCACGCGGCTGACCCGGGTTCGATCCCCAGCACCCCACATGAGCATGGAGCCAGGAGTGATCCCTGAGTGCAGAGCTGGGAGGAAGCCCTGGGTGCCACAGGGGGCTGAGAGCTAGACACAGCGAGAGGGGCGCGGTGCCCCCAAGGCCGCCCCGACCAGCTCTCCACGTGCCCTGCGCCCAGCCTGCTGCCTCCTGCCCACCTCGGGCAAGGCCAGGGCTGACCTCAGCGCTCCTCATCACCCTGTGGCCTCCCTGGGCCACGACCTCGTCCCCCCAAGCCTACCTGATGCTCCATGGGCAAGGAGCAAATCTGGACTCGGACTCAGCGGCCCCTGCCCAGACCCAGGGCCATGGTGAGGGGCCCCCCGTCCCTTGGCCGGTCTCTGTGTGCAGTGGCAGCCTGGATGGACAGACAGACAGACAGACGGGGCAGAGTGCACGCCCCTGAGCTCTGGCTCAGAGGTGTCCCGGCTGCGAGACAGGCACGCTCAGCCGCCGTGCCCGGCAGGTGCCCACCAACACCCTCACACAGCCCCACGCCCCCCGAGCTGCAATTCCCAGGCTGTCCCGAAAGGGGCTGCTGAGGGTCTGTCAGCTGCTGGCAGCCCGGGGTGGGCGAGGGGGCAGGGGTTGCACATGGGCCGGGCGTGGTGGGCTGAGGCTGAGCGAGCATCCCCCCCACACACAGGGCCCCCCGTGAACGTCAGCTGCAACATTTTCATCAACAGCTTTGGCTCCATCGCCGAGACCACCATGGTGAGTGACACCCCCACCCCCGCACCAGGGGACATTGCTGGGAGCTCAGGTGCTGCCAGGCACACAGCCCACCCTCGGTGGGTGCCCAAGCACCACTGGGAGCACCGGATATGGCCCCCCAAGAGCCAGACAGGCCCAGGGGTTGGGGGCGGCGCCCCAAGGGCCACCAGCATTCGCCACCAGCACTCGTCACTGGCTGACAATTCCGGGTCAGAAGCTCGAGCACCAGGCCCACAGAGGAACTGGGCTGGCGCTCACCTCTGAGGACAGGAAGCCGAGAGCATGTGGGAATGAGGGACCCCCCCGCCCCCACCCGCCTTCCCTCAGGGCTCCTCCTCCTTTCCCCTTTCTTCAGTGAGCCAAGGCCACACCAGCCATTCCAAACACTTGGGTGCTTTAACTCCTGGTTCCGCAGCCCTGATGGCAAATGCCCTGAGATGCAGGAGGGGGCTGCTGGGGGCGGGGTGGGCCGCAGGTGTGTCCCCCTGCCCCCCACCCTGGAGAACACCCCCTCCTCACACCAGGCCTGCAGGGACGCAGCCCAGAGCTGCAGCTTCCAGGCCGGACTGTCAAAAGCATCAGCTCAGAAAACGGCGCTTCCCCATACACACACTGGCTTGGGCAAGCGCCGGGGCCCCTCCCCCCCCCCGGCCAGGGCAGAGTGGCACCTGCCCCCCCCCCCCCCCGTGCGTGCACACGTGTGTGCTGTGGCTGAGTGTGCAGACGCGAGGCCTGCAGGAGGCGGCGAGCACGCGTGTTTCTGTGGTTGCAGGTGCCGTGTGCTGTGAGCGAGTGTGGCTGTGAGCGCGCAGCTGCGTGGCACGAACGCACGTGGCACCGCAGAGCGAGTGCGCGGTGTCGTGGGCGAGGTAAGTGTGGGAGGTGTCTGCCTGGCCGAGAAGAGCCAGCTGCATGTGTGCCCGCGCTGGGGCCATCGAGGACACGCGGCAACTCCCGAGAGACAGGATGTGCGGGTGTGTGTCCGACAGTCGCGTGTCTGTGAGTCTGTGTGTGTGTCTATGCGTATCTGTGTGTCTGAGTCTGTGTGTGTCTGAGTCTGTTTCTGTCTGTGAGTCTGTGTGTGTCTCTGTGTCTGTGAGTCTGTGTGTGTGTCTGTGTTCGTGAGTATGTGTACGTCTGTGAATCTGTGTGTGTCTGTGAGTCTATGTATGCACCTGTGTGTCCTTGTGTCTGAGTCTGTGTGTGTCTATGTGTATCTATAAGCCTGTGTGTGTCTGTGAATCCATGTGTGTCTATGAGTCTGTGTGTGTGATTCTGTGTGAGTCTGTGTGTTTCTGTGAGTCTGTGTCTGTGTGTTTATGTGTCTGTGCCCGCGAGCAAGAGTCAGTCTGTGTCTGTGTGCCTGTGTGTATGAGTCTGTATCTGAGTCTGTGGGTCTGTGTGGATCTGTGTCTGTCTGTGTGCAAGAGTCTGTCTGTGTCTGTGTGCCTGTTTGTGAGTCTGTGTCTGGGAGTCTGTGTGCATCTATGTCTGATTCTCGGAGTCTCTGAGTCTCGTGTGCCTGCGTCTGTGTGTATGAATCTATGTGTGTCTATGTTTGTGTGTGTATGACTGTGAGTCTGTGTGTCTGTATGTGTGTCTGTGTGTGTCTGTGAGTCTGTGCGTGTGAGTGTGTATGCATCTGTGTGTGCACATGCGGCAGCCTGGGCCGGCACAGAGGTCCCACATCCTTCAACCGTGTCCTCAGCTCCTGAGCAGTCGGATGTCAGGGGCCCAAACCCACAGCACGGCAGGGAGCAAAGTCACCTGGGGACAGGAACAGCAGCGCCCGGTTCAGTGGGGCCGCATCTCCTCAGCCAAGCCCCCGCTGCACAGCTGCGTCTCGGGGAATGACAGGGGGCTTGGGGTCCACGCTGAGAAAGAACCTGCTTCACCCCTCACACAGCTGGGGTACAGAGCAGAGCCAGGCATGTCTCAGAACCCCAATCCCCAGACCCCCTCACAGACACCCACCCCTCAGAGACAACCCTCATGGGCACCCTATCCCTCACAGACACCCTGATCCTCACAGACACCCCTCAGAGACACGCTGCCCCTCACACACACCCCCTACAGATACCCTGACCCTCACAGACTCTCCTCACAGGCATGCTGCCCCTCAAAGACACCCTGCTCATCACAGACACACTGCCCCTCACAGATATCCTTCACGGACACCCTGTCCCTCAAAGACACCCCAGCCCTTCAGCCCCTCATGTTCCCCCAGCCGCCCCTTCCTCTCAGGCATGAGGTTGTGGGGAAGGGTCCCTGGCACGAAGCCCGTGCTAAGCCCCGGGCCTGCCCCGTGGCCATGGAGGTCCAGAGGGCAGAGACTGAGAGGGGGACACAGCCTCGGTGCCTGACCCTCCCTCATCTCAGCTGAGCCCGCGTGGGCATCAGGGTCCCCCACCGGAGGCTGGCCCCGAGGCCAGGGCTCTCCAGGGCACGGTCCCTCCCTGGCGGAGCTGGGGTCCGCCCGAGACCAGCTCCTGCTCCCCGGCTCCCACAGGCCCCGCAGGTCTGCACAGGGGGACCCACTGCTCCTCCCTGCTCCCCACCACCCATGCGGATGGAGCCCCTGGCCCCTGGCCTGGCTGACACCGGCCCGGTGTGTCCAGCAGACCCGACATGCGCTTCGGCTCAGCCAGCAATGCTCACGGCAGCTCCCTGGACCCGTGCGGGTGACGGCTGCCCCACTGTCCCCAACCCACAGCCCAGCAGCAAAGTGGGTCTCAGCCTGACCCCCCCGCCCCAGACAGGGATACCCAAGGGGCACCTCACCAGAGGGACCCCAGCACCTCAGTCTCTGTGCTCAGGGGCCCAGACCCAAGCTGGGGCATGAAGTCGGGGAGCAGACGCAGGCTGAGACTCGGCCTTGGGGGGCCCAGAAGGTCCGACCCCCTGAGCTCAGCCCGAGGTGGGACAGCACTGCCGGGCAGTGAGGGAGGAAGGAAAGATGAAAGGGAAAGAAGGGCCGAGCGGTACCACAGTGCACGGGGTGTCTGCCTTGTGTGCAGCCAACTGGGGCTCGAACCCCGGCACCCCATACGCTCCCCCCAAACACAGCCAAGAGTGATTCCTGACCCCAAAATAAAGCCAAAACAGGAAAGAGAGAGAAAGCGAGAAAGAGACAAAGAGACGACAGTCTGAGAGTGAGATGACGAGAAAGAGAGAGAGAGGAGAGTTGAGAGAAAGAGGTGACCGAAGACCCTGCAGCAGGACAGTCCTGGGCCCGGGAATGAACTGGTTTCAGGACAGCTCAGCCCCTCCCACTTCATGTCCAGGAGGGACGCATCAGCAGGACAGCTGTGCCCTGGCCAGGCTCACGCCTCCTCTCCCGGGGGGCACGCTCGGAGCCCCTTTCCTGTCCTCAGTGTCCACTCTGCCCTGCCCTCAGCTGGACACAGCTACTAGCCCAGAGGCTCCCGGGCATTCCTGCCAGCCTCAGTTCCGGGGGGCCGGCAGGGCTGGGCAGGGCTGGACAGGCACTGCCCAGCGCCCACCCCTCCCAGAGTGTGGCCGGAGACCAGGGGGCGCTGCTCAAGCCGGCACCGCCCCCGACGCAGCGCTGTGTCCCCAGGACTACAGGGTGAACATCTTCCTGCGGCAGCAGTGGAACGACCCCCGGCTGGCCTACAACGAGTACCCTGACGACTCGCTGGACCTCGACCCCTCCATGCTGGACTCCATCTGGAAGCCTGACCTGTTCTTCGCCAACGAGAAGGGGGCGCACTTCCACGAGATCACCACCGACAACAAGCTGCTGCGCATCTCACGCAACGGCAACGTGCTCTACAGCATCCGGTGGGCGGGCGGCAGGGCTGGACGCTACGGCATCCGGGGGGGTGGGCAGGGGTTTGACACTCTCCGAGGCATCCAGTGGGCAGCCAGGGAGGGACTAGACACGCTCCGCAGCATCCGACGGGTGGACAGGGGCTGGACGTGTTCTACAGAGTCCAGCAGGTGGGCAGGGAGGAACACACACTATAGCGTCCAGTGGGTGGGCAATCTGGACGCTCTCTGTGGTGTCCGGCGGATGGGCAGGGCTGGACGCACTCTGTGGCATCCGGTGAACACTGTTGTGCCCACGGGGCTCCTGGCATGAGTGGCAGCAGGGTAGCCAGAGCCCATCCCAGGGTGGGAGTGCTCGCCGAGCAACCGTGCCCTTCCCCTGCAGAATCACGCTGACCTTGGCCTGCCCCATGGACCTGAAGAACTTCCCCATGGACGTGCAGACATGCATCATGCAGCTCGAGAGCTGTGAGTCCCAGACCCACCCGAGGGGCCTTGGGGGTGCTCAGGGTAGTCCAGGCGCAGGAGTCAGGGGAGTGAGCTGACCTGGCTGGGCAGCGGGGGGTGGGGGGACGGGTGGGTTGTGTGGAGGCCCCACTGATGCCCCCCACTGCCCCCACCCCCAGTCGGCTACACCATGAACGACCTGATCTTCGAGTGGCAGGAGCAAGGGGCCGTGCAGGTGGCCGACGGGCTCACGCTGCCCCAGTTCATCCTCAAGGAGGAGAAAGACCTTCGCTACTGCACCAAGCACTACAACACGGGTGGGTCCCGCCGCGTGTCCCATGCCCCGGGGGGCGGGTGACCGGGAGGGTCCCCGCAGCCCCTAAGCCCGGCCGCCCTGCAGGCAAGTTCACGTGCATCGAGGCGCGCTTCCACCTGGAGCGGCAGATGGGCTACTACCTGATCCAGATGTACATCCCCAGTCTGCTCATCGTCATCCTCTCCTGGATCTCCTTCTGGATCAACATGGACGCGGCGCCCGCGCGCGTGGGGCTGGGCATCACCACCGTGCTCACCATGACCACCCAGAGCTCGGGCTCCCGCGCGTCCCTGCCCAAGGTAGCCCTGGCTCGGGCCCGGGAGCGGGGCATGGGGGTCGGGAACGTGGGGTCCGGGAGGGGCCGAGCCTGCCAGCACGCTGCGGCCCGCAGGTGTCCTACGTGAAGGCCATCGACATCTGGATGGCCGTGTGTCTGCTCTTCGTCTTCTCGGCCCTGCTCGAGTATGCGGCCGTCAACTTCGTGTCCCGGCAGCACAAGGAACTGCTGCGTTTCCGGAGGAAGAGGAGGCACCACAAGGTGGGGCCGGGGGAGGGGGGGAGGGGGACGGTCTGGGGGAGGGCGGGTCCCAGGTGCGCCGCGGGCAGGGGCGGGGGCACCCCTCTCTCCGGGGCTGGAGACTGCAGATCGCGGCCGGGGGTCCCAGCGGCCAGCACCCCTGGCCACACGAGGTCTGGGCTCGGTCCCCAGCACCCACCGACCCCCCAGCACTGCTGGGTGAAGCCCCAAACCAAGGGCCCGGGATGGGCTTGGTGCTCCTGGTGCCCGGGCTGGGCTTCTCCTCAGCTAGCCCGAGAGAAGTCCTTGGACCCCAGGGCCCTCTGGAGGTGCCAGCCTGGCCGTGCCCTGCCGCCTGCTGGAGAGAAGGGGAACTGCAGGCCTGCTCAGCGCACATCACACAGGCACACACACAGGCACGCACACGCACACACATGTACACATGCACATCACGCACAACGCACACATAACGCACGCATGCACACATGCACACACGCACATGACACATGCACGTATGTATGCACACGCACACGACACATGAACACATATACACATGTGCGTGCACACAGACCACTTCAGATTGCCCCAAAGCCCCCCAGATCCCTGGGCAGGCACGTCCCCACCCACTGCAGGGCTGGGGTAGGAGGGCCAGTCTCAGGGGGCCCAGCCCCGCAGAGCCACCGCCCCGAGTGGGGACGGGGTAGGAGGGAGCCGGGACATCTGGGGGGGGGGAGCCCCCTGAGCGTGCACGCGGGGCCCGGCCCGCACAGGGGGCCACGGGGCCGCGCAGAGCGGCTGGGCGAGCAGCGTGTGTGTTGCAGGAGGAGGAGGCCGGGGAGGGCCGCTTCCACTTCTCGGCCTACGGGATGGGCCCCGCGTGCCTGCAGGCCAAGGACGGCATCTCGGTGAAGGGCCCCAACAGCAGCTCGGCCAACCCGCCGGCGCCCTCCAAGACCCCCGAGGAGATGCGCAAACTCTTCATCCAGCGCGCCAAGAAGATCGACAAGGTGTCGCGCATCGGCTTCCCCATGGCCTTCCTCATCTTCAACATGTTCTACTGGATCATCTACAAGATCGTGCGCCGCGAGGACGTGCACAACCAGTGACGGGCACGGCGCGGGGGCCGGGCGCACCTCCCGCTTGGCGCCCGCCCACCCCGCCCGGCCCCCGCGGAGACAGTCACCGAGCTTGCTTGGCTGTGGCGTGTCCCCCCATTCCGCCCGCCCGCCCGCCCCTCCCCTCCGCGTCCCCTCGGCGGGCACGGGCGGGGGCAGGGGCCGCGGGAAGGGAGTGGGGTCCTCGCCCGGGTCCGAGCGCTGCCGAGCGTCCTCCTTGCTGCTTGCACCGCCCCCCCGCCCACCCCCCACCCCCCAGTTCCTCACGATGATGGGCGATATGCAATCTTTTTTACGGTTAGGAAAAGTAATAATCTCAGACAATATGCAGCTAGAGTATACACTGATGCACTTTTTCAAATGTCTATTTTTTGGAGAATTTCTTAGAACTGCAACTGGGAGTGTTCAGGGAGGCATGCCCAGGGCTCAAGTGACTATCGCTCGGAGGGGACCGGGCAGGAAGAGGCCTGGAGACAGGCAGGCAGAGACAGGCAGAGACAGCCGATAGAGACAGGCAGACAGCTGATGGAGACAGGCGGTAGAGACAGGCAGAGTCAGGCAGAGACAGCCGATACCGATAGACAGGCAGAGAGACAGCATGCAGAGACAGGCAGGGTCAGGCAGAGACAGCCAAGAGAGACAGGCAGAAAGGCAGCAGGTAGAGGCAGGCAGCAGTGGAGCGAGTGCTGGCCAGGCAGTAATGTCCAGGGGCATGAGGGAGGGGCGCTGGGGGTGGGGACGAGGTTCCGGAAGGTTCTCCCAGCTCACTGCTGCTCACCAGAAGCCTGCAGGAAGGAACGGTGTGCCAGCATGAAAGCCGTGGTTCCTCTCCCGCTGGACATCAGAGCGAGAGCCCGCGGGCAGGACAGAGCGTGGCCGGGGCCCACACGGGCCCTGGGAGGGGCCGGACCTGCAGAGTGTAGGGGTCCCGGCACCTGTGCGGGGAGCACATGGCCACCCTCTTCCTGGAGGCAGAGTGAGCAGGGACACAGCTGAGAACGTGGGGACGCCTGAGCCCAGCCCGGCAAGCCCTCAGGCTGCAGGAGACCCACAGCCCGCGTCTCTCCGGGGCCTTCGACCCACCAGGGACCGCCCTCCACTGCAGCCGAGCCTGCACACCCCTGCCGCCCTGCTGAGAAGCCGAAGGCCACATAGGACGGGACAGAGCCTGCCACCCATGCCACCACCCACGCCGTCCACCATCCCACCAGCCTGCTTCCGCTCCTGAGCTCCGGGAAGGCAGCCGGAGCCCAGCCACGGACAAGAAGCTGTGTCCCTCCACAGACTGCCCCTGTGGGCACAGACCCAAGAGGGCGCCACCACTGAGCCAGCGGCAGAGGCCTGTGTGTGTGGCATCCAGGAAGCTGCGCCCTGAGTCGGCCTCCCTGACCGTCACATGCTCAGGCAGTGCCATTCACATCGCAGGTCCTCTTGGGGCCCAGCCCAGCTCACCTCTGCCGAGGCTCCGCCCCACACGTCTGACTTCTGGCTTGGCCAAACGCCCCTCATGGACCGGGCTGCCCTCTGCGAAGCACCGGCCTCCACCTGCCCGGGCTGGACCCTGCTGCAAGCCCAGTCCAGCACCCGACACATGCCCAGCGCCAGCTGGAGCCCATGAAGCATCCCTCATCCTCCGGCTCCCTGAGCGGAACCCACACAGCTCAGCCATCCTCACCGGGCACAGGGACGCCATGCGGGGGACCCACCTTCAAGCATGCAGAGGGCCCCTGCCCGCTCCCACGGGGCCGCACCAGCACCTGTGCCCACGGCTCTGGGGGGACCCAGCCCAGCAGCCCCCACTGACCCCGCAGAAGCCACCTCTGAGTCCCGCGGGTTCTGTCCAGCCAGCGCGGGACGTTGGGGTTGAGACCCGGGCCGGGCCAAGGGGCAGCCGGTGCCTGTCCCTCGGGCCTTCCAAGGCCATCCACGGGGCTGCTGGGAGCCGTGGTCAGACACACGGGGTTGATTCTCACCCCAGAGCTGCGAGGCGCAAAGAGACCGACGCCCCGTCCCTTCCACCACGGCTGGGCTGTCTGGCCCAGTCGGGCCGGGACAAAGCCACTGACTGCCAAGGAGCCTGGCGCAGGGGCCACGCCTGACCCGGCTCCTGGGAGCTCCGACCCCCCATGCAGGCTCAGGGAGCAACGGCACAGACCCCAGGCCCGGCAGAAAGTCTGTCCTCCAGAACCTGCCACCGCTGCCCCTGGCCCTGTCCTGGCCCACGCTGGGTCTGAGCCAGGGCTCAGGGGTCAGTGCAGGGCCTGCCACAGGCAGCCAGGTGTGCAGGCCCTGGGCGGCCACCCTGCGGGACTGGGCGGGGGTCAGGCTGACCACGACAGGGCCAAGGGCAGGACTGAGCTGGCCGCCTCGGGGACACGGGGACTGCCGTTGCTGTCCCCTCCCAATCTGAGTCTCTGCACGGGGACCAGGACAGTCCCTCGAGCTGAGAACCAAGGCCACCCACGCTCCCCGAGGTGGCGCCCCGGCAGCCCCGAGCCAACATTGCTGCCGTCTCGCCCACTCCCACTCGGCCTGTGTCTACCTCACAGAGGTGTCCCCACCTGACCCCCGCCCTGCGTCCCCCACCCTGGCCGCATCAGTGTGCAGGTGCTCGTGTTCTGTGAGCCGCAGTTGACACCAGCAGACGGGCCGGGGAGGACAGCTGGGCCGGAAGCAGCCCAGAGGCCTCGGGGAAGAGCGAGCTGCCCTGGTAAATGGGGCGGCCCAGAGCCAGAGCACGGCCTGGACAGTGGCAGGGTCCCCCAGACCCACTGTCGCCACAGGCCCCAGGGACGCCCCCCCTATGTTGATGCCAAAGTTGAAACACATCATGTTAGAAACATGCTGATGTGCCCACTGAGGTCTGGGAAGCCACATCTGAGTACACACCAGCCGTGGCGCACACCGTGGTACACGCCAACCGTGGTACGCACCTACTATGGTATGCGCCAACTGCAGTGCCAGCCAGCCATGGTGTGCGCCATGCCAACGTGCCCCTCTTGGGAGCAGAGCCAAGGTCAGCAGGGGGTCAGCCCCCATCACTGACAGGCTGCCCACCGGGGGGGTGCGGAGGGGAGGTCGAGGCAGGAAGGCAAGCTCCACGCCACCCCCACCTCCCCTTCCTTCCAGGACACGTGTGCCGACTCATGCGCGGCGGGAGGCTCTGGGGACCTTCACAGACGTGGCCACCACAGCCATCACCCGCGTCCAACCCCAGTCACCGGCCCTCGAGAGCCTGCCCGCAACACTGTGGACTTCGGGAAGGCAGCGTGTCCTGGGCGAGGGAGCCTGGAGCCAGCCCTGTCCTCCCAGGAACGTCCACACAACACTCACGCTGACTGCAGGGGTGCTGTGCCCTCACGGGGTCCCCACGTCTCATGGGTCTCTTGGCTGTCAACCATCGCCCTGGGCCGCCCTCGTCCTCTTTGCATGGAGCCAAAGTTATGGCAGTTATTTTTGGCTTGTAAAAAAAAAATCTATTTCTGCAGTTTGAAGACGGAATGTAAAATTTCTGTGACACATGTGTATAAAGATATATTTATCGAACCACCCATAGACGTGCTGATTCCGTGCTGATTCCAAGGGCCGGGTGGGTGGCTTGCGGGCCCTTCCTGCGGTTCCCTGACCCCGGCTGAGGGAATTCCTGAAGGGTTGCCGTCACTCCTAGAAGTCTTCCCAAGACAGAGAAATCTGCCAAAGATCTGCACCCCAGCCGGGGCAAGGCCCAAGCGAGCGCACTGTGAGCTGCCGCCCGTTAGGGGAGACCCCCACAACCCGGGCGAGTGGGCTGCACAGTGCGGCCAGATCCCAGGTGTGGCCCAAACAAAGACAAGGAAAGGCCAGGACCAAGGCGGGGCCGACCCTGGTTCCGCTGAGCCCGTAAGTGCCCCCAATAATGACCAAACAGAGCCCTGGGCGCAGCCGGGCGCCCGCAGGCTGAGCTGCAGGGGACCCCAGGGCCAGGGGAGAGGTGGAGGGGCGGGAGGAAAGCCCAAGCTGGAACCTACAGAGAAGCGAGGGCCTGGCACGTCCCTGCAGGACAGAGGCTGGAGCCTGACCCCGACCCCCAGTGCCTCTGCAGCTGTCCAGGGTCCCGGCAGCTCCGTGGACACGTCTGCCACGTGCCCGGCTGGTGAAACGAGGGCGTCCGGGAGCCACAGGGGCGATGGGAGCTCCGGCCACATTGTCCCCGAGGGCTCCCCGGCCCTGCACAGCTCAGCACAAAAACACACTCTGGGCCCCCCCATTAGGTGGGCGAAGGGAAGGCGGGTGGGCACAGACACGTCTCTGCAGAGCCCCGCGCAGACCCTCAGGCCCCACGCCAGGCAGGGCCCTTCCCTGACCGGCAGCCGACCTCCAGGCCACTTCCTGGCAACAGCTCTGAATAAACGGAAAGAGCCGTGACCGCGTCCATCGCTGGGGAACAGCCCTCGCGCCCCGCAGACAAGGAGATGGCCAGGAGGGGCCGTGGGCAGCACGGGCCTGCTCCCAGGGTGGCCGCACCCTGCCGGGGCCCCAAGGGAAGGCACCAAGCTGCTGGGCTGAGAAACATGCACGTGACCAGTGAGAATGACACTGACCACCTGTGTCCCGACACGCAGTGACCGGCTTGTCCCTGCAGGGTCCCATCCCCACTGCCGCCAGCCAACACGCAGCTAGAGGCACCAAGGCCCCAGGCATGGCCTTCCGGGGGCCAGGGCTGCGGGAAGGGTCCTACATACAGCCCAGGCTGCCCAGGAGCCAGTCAGTGCCCAGACTGACCCCTGCTCCTTAGCATGGCCCAAGCGTCCAGCCGGACTCAGGTCTGAGCTCGGAGGCCGGGGCTGTTCCTGCCCCTGCCACCGGCTCTCAGCCCATCTCCGGCACAGGGACCGTCCCCAGGGCCAATGACAGACCCAGCCTCGGGGAAGGAGGGCCACAGCTCTGTAGCCAGCGCCCAAGCCGCACACGAGCAGGCCTCATCCGAGCTGGGCAGAGGCCACGTGGCCGCCCCGGGCTCAGACTGAACGTCGCGCAGAGCCAAGCTCTGAAACCGACTTCCCGAGATGCCCCACGCAGGAGGCCCTCACGCCCTGCCCCCTCACACCGGCCCAGCCGAGCCCCATCTGGCCCCGGAACACAACCGCACGCCTGGGGCCACAGCAGGGTCAGTCTACACCGGCAGATCAAACGTTCGTCCAGAAACAGTTTAATGAAAATCGGCCATTTGCAAGAAATACCCACGGCAGGGCCACCGATCCGAGGGAACTGTAACAAAATAGAACATCCACCACACGGTGATGATTCAGGGGCAAAAATCTAGCAGACTCACGCACGCAGCCCTGCTGGGCGGACGCGGGTGTCACTCGGCACGGCACGGCCGCCCCCAGAGGCCAACGGGCAGGAGGAGCCGGGGGCACCCCCAACACACACTGAACCGCCAACAAATCTAGGTACTTTTTATTTTCCTTCCAACGACTGCCAGGGCTGGAACCAGATAAATAGAAGGCACAACAGTTTTGCTCTGGGTTTGTGTTATTTGGATCAGGGTTGTCTTTTTTTTTCGTTTTGTTCTTGTTTTTTTACAAATACAAACTAAACATGGAAAAACTACCAACAGGACCCTAAGCGTTCAGAGAAAGCACGTCCCTCGCTCTCCACACACGCGGGCAGTCCAACGGCTGGGCCCTCCCTCCGTGGCGAACGGGTCCAGTGTCCTGTGGTCAGGAGCAGAGAGGCGGGACGCCCCGTCCAGCGCTCCGCCACCCGCAGAAAGCACCGGACGCTGGCCCGGGTGGCGTCTCCACCCCCGCAGACGGCCACAGCTTGCAAAGAAGAAACAAATCGGGTTATTCCTGCCTTCAAAAACGCTGACCCAATCCTGCCTTCCTCACAGGCTCTTAAAATGCAGAAAATGAGAAGAAATATTCCAACGCATGACGATGAGGCGCCCGGAGTCGTGGGGACGCGCGCAGCACGAAGCGGAGACTCGCTCTCGTTCTCTTCCGAAAAGTCCGTTTTCCCTAAAACACGTTCCATGAGATCGAAGTGAGGACTCGGGGCGGTGGGCCGGCAGCGCGGGGGGGCCACGGGCCAGCGGCCAGCCGGCTAGCGGCATGCCACTCACTGCCGGGGGGCCAGGCCCCGGCCCACCCCGAAGCCGGGCTTGGGCACCAGGCCCCCCCGCGGCGGCCCGCGCAGGCCGGCGCCCAGCCCCCCACGGGGGCCCCCGGGGCCGCGCAGGCGGTTGTCGCGCCGGTCGCCCTCGCGGGCCGCCCGCGTCTTCTTCTCCTCCACGTTCAGGCGCACCTCCCCGCGGAACATGATGGGCTGCGAGAGGGAAGAGGGGAGGGGCGTCACCGGGGCAGGCGGCCTGCCTCCGTGGGGACAGCAAACAGGCCTGGGCCCAGGGACACGAGCCAGGCTTGGGCAGTGCCCACCGCACAGGTCTGCCCGCACACAGCAGGTCCAGGGGAGCCGGGCCCAGGAGGCCGCCCGCAGGTCGGGGGGGGGGGGGGGGGGGGGGGGGAGGCAGGTGAGACTGGGCGCAGGCACCCCGGCAGCAGGGGTGGGGTGGGGAGCAGCCGGGCGCGACCCTGCCTGACAGCAGCGCTGGGTGCAGGCGGACACCCCCGGCTGCTGCTCCTGACCCCACATGTGCTCGGGGCTGCAGACACAGGAACCTGGGCAGAGGCAAGAGGAAGCTGGGCACTGCCGGGAGCGACCCCACAGGGAATCATGACAGCCCCTAAGCACCGTAAGCTGGTCCCACAGTGCATCGCCAGGAGGGCTCAGACATCCCCAGACTCGGGCCCGAGTGCTCCTTTCCCCGAAATGGCAAACATCTCGCACACACACTCGTGCACACGCACATGCGTGCACACGCATCTGGGCCCCCCGTCTCCTAGGCGCCAGCCCCCAGCAGCAGGGAAGAACCAAGAGCCAAGGCCCAGCGTGGGGACGAGTGGGGAGCCCGGGGAGGGGCTCGGGCCAGAGTGCTCAGTGCAGGCGTGTGCCCCGGGCTAGCCCTGCCCTTCTCTGGCACCGTGAGGGCCGCTTCCTTTCACGCAGGAAAGGGACTGGCCACTGGGCCTTCGCCTGCTGACCAGTGACTCAGGCGAGTCCACAGTGGTCCGGAGACGGCCACTGCTCTGCCCAGGCCTGAGGACAGCTCTGCCTGGGTGTGGCCACAGCAGGGCTGCAGAGGACAGACTTGGACGGACGGATGGATGGACGGAGGCAGAAGCCAGGGAGGGCAGCGGGCACACCGGCCGACCACCGGCGCGGGGCCAGGGACTCACCCGGTTGCTAAGGACCTTCTGGACGGGCTCGGCGTCGTCGAACACCACGAAGCCGAAGTTGGGCAGCTTCCCGCCGCTGTTGATGCGCAGCTCCAGGACGGTGCCGTAGGCTGCGGGCGGGCGGGCGGGGAGGCGCCGTGAGCGCGCGCGGGGGCGCAGGGGGGCGCGGGGCGGGGAGGAGGCGGGCGGGGCCACCTACTCTGGAAGAAGTCCTTGAGCTCCGACTTGTCCACCTCGTGGGGCAGGTTCCCGATGAAGAGCTGGTGGCTGTCCGGGTGCCGCACCATCCGCCGGGGCTCCACGTCCCCCGGCTCCGTGGGCTCGCGCACTGCGGCACAGGCGGGGCTGAGACCCTCGCGCCCCGCGCCCCAGCCCCCGCTGCGGCACAGGCGGGGCTGAGACCCTCCCACCCGCCCGCACCCCGCCCCGCACTCACCCCCGGACTCACCGGGCCGGGGTCCCCGCTGCGGGGGCGGGTTGAGCCGCGGCTCGCGCGCCCGCTGGTCCCGCTGCGGCCTCTGCGCAGGCGCCTGCGGCTCGGCCTTGGACTCGGGGCGCGGCTGCGGGACGGAGAGAGGAGTGAGCCCGAGCGGGCGCGGGCGGGACCCCCGGCCCACCCCGACCCAGACCCCGCGCACCTGGGGCGCCGGCACCCGCACCACGTGCGGCGGGATGCCCGTCACCGGCACGGCGCCGCTGGGACGCAGGTTCTTGCTGGTCACCGAGGCCCACGAGAAGGTCTGCAAACAGAGGCCGCCTGAGCCGCGATGCCACGGGACGCCCAGCCCCCTCGAGCCTGCTGGGACCTCCCAGACCTTCCCGCCCCGCCCCTGGGCCCCCGCGCTCAGGCATTCGCCAGGCAGCGGGGAGGACAGACCCTCCTGGGACATGCTGCTGCTTGCCCGGGTGGACGAGCACTGTCCCTAGCTGAAGGAGGGGTCACCAGGTCCCAGCCACCCCCCCCCTCAGAGCAGCGGCGTCTCTTCCGGCTGACCAGCTGACCAGCGGAGGGACAGCCCCTCCCCGCCCCAGCAGGGCCAGACATGCCCACCCACCCGCAGGTCCTCCTGGGCGGCAGGGCCCAGATCCGCGGGGGCCGGCGAGGGGCTCTTCTGGGCATCCTCGGGGGCGGCCTCCTCCAGGGCGGCCTCCGGCTTCTCCTCGTGGGGCTCTGGCACGGGCTCTGGCTCCCCCTCGGGCTCAGGGTCCGGCTCCGGCTCGGCTCCGGGCCCCTCTAAGTGCTCCTCCAAGTCGTTGCTTTCAAAGGAAAAGCCCCAGTGTCTCGCTCTGCCCCGTGACCGCAAGGCCCACGCTAGCTCTCACTGCTCCGCTCAGCCGAGCATGCGGCTGGAGCCCCGAGGACAGACCAACACGGGCACAGGGGCACAGGGGCACTCGGCGCGGGACAGAGGGGACCTGGCTGTCGGGTCACACGGTGCCTCTCCTGACCACGCACAGGGGCAGGCAAGACCAGGCCAGCTCCCGGAGTACATGGGGCCTGGCCACCAGCAGGACAGGGCACTGCAGGGCTCATTTAGGGTCCAGAGACTTCCCACCACCGCAGGGGAGCCCCGAGCACTGCCAGGGAGCCCCGTGCCTGAGCACTGTGAGCCCCACACGGAGGAGGAGGGGAGGCGGCAGTGGTGGACTGTCAGACACCAACTGCCAGGACAAAGGTCAGGACAGACTCTGCCCCCACGGTCCCCAGGCAGGCCCAGAGCCGAGGGGCGGGGTCTCACTCCGGACGGGGAGGGCGTGCAGGTGCACCGAGGCCTGGGCACGGGCCAGTCCTTCCCCAGGGTCCATCTCTGAAAAACTCAGACGACGCCACTGTCAGCTCCAGTGATGATAACCCAACCCGGCCTCCGCAGAAAGGACGGGAAGGACAAGGTCTCTACCCGACGGCCTGGTCGTAGAACGTTCCAGCATCATCGGGGACGGCTTCAGGTGTCTGCTGTCTCTCCTCAGGCTCCTCCACCTCCTCCTCGGATTCTGCTCGAGAAGAAACCCAACCGAGCTTGAAACCCACCCAGCCGGATGCGCCCTATCTGCACGCGAGGACCGCAGCCGGCAGGACGCAGCCAGTGGGAGCCGGACACGGCTGGGCCGCCCCCACCCCCACCCCGACCTGCCCTGAGCCCCGCCGGGAAGCGCATGTGCTTCCTCACACCCCAAGTCAGTCTGTTCCTGTGCCACACCCGGTCGTGCCTGGACCTCACCTTGCACACCCGAGGCAGGTTCGGCCCCCACGTCCCCTGGGATCCCTGAGCAGAGCCAGGCACAAGCCCTGAGCACCCCCTCCCAGACGGCCGTGGAAGCGGCACCCCCGGGGCTGGTCAGGCAGGGCATCTCCTCACCCAGTGCTGCCCTCCACATGCTCCAGACAAAACCCGCCGGTCCGAGTCGCTCACCCGTCAGGGAGAGCCCGGCCCCACCACCGATACCCAGACTCACCCTCCTGCGGCTCCGTGACGAAGCCCCCGAAGACCTCGTCCTGGTACCTGAAGATGTCGTTGTGGACGTAGAACTTGTTGGCCACGGAGCCCTGCAATGCAACAGACGCCTGGTGTGGGGACGCACCACGGGAACATCACCACCGGCCACGCAATGGACACCGTCTCCTCCCAGCTCCGCACAGGACACTCGGGCACCCGGGTGGGGGTGAGGGCCAGCACCCAGGGCCCCGGCGAGGGACCCACGGCCACTGTCCCCACTCCTGGGACAGTGAGGGGTGGGGCTAACCTCTTGCTGGGCAACCTCAGGCCTGTCCACGGCCGCTGCCCCTCAGCCTGAGCCCCCTGCTGGCGGCGTGGCCTCAGCACGCTCCACGCGGCGGCACGAGGTCCCAGGCACAGTGTGGCCAGATGTCATGGCAGACCCGGGCACAGGGCGACCTGGAGCCCACGACCCCTCCCCACGCCCGGCCCTGGGAGGCAACAGGTGCCACGTGAGAGGCCACGGGAGCCACAGGGACCCACAGACTTGCCCACCAGGACACAGCACGCATGGTGGCATTACCGCGCCCCCCCCCCCCCCAAGAACAGGGAGCTAGGGACCGTAAGGCCAACCCTGGCAAATCCCGGCTCCCCACCCAGGCACCCGGACACTGCCAGGAGTCAGCCAGCCCTGCGGACAGCGAACAGGCCCTTCAGAGGGACCGGGCACCTCGATGGGGCCAGGCCTGACCACGCCAGCCCATGCAACGTCCACTCACACCCCAGCTGGTGCCCGAGCGACCACACGCATCTGCCCAGGAGCCCGCCGTGCCAGGGCCGAGGAAGGAGGCAGGAATAGCTGGACCACGGGGGACACCACCAACAGCCGCCGAGGGTCAGGAAAGCGGGGAGGTGCCCGCACAGCCCACAAGGGCCCGGAGAGGTCCCGAGCCGGCCGCGGGGAACCCTGAGCACCAGCCAGAGCCGAGGTCAAAAAGGGAAACGGGAAGGTCCATTTTCTGCTGCTGGTGTGTGGTGAGACAGTCCTGCGCTCGGGCGCCGGGGCATCCCCCGCCCCCGCCCGCCGCTCCTGGGACCCGGGCCCGCCGTGCCTACCTCAGGCGCCAGCACGAAGGTCTGCATGAAGCGCCGCAGCGCCTGGTTGTTGTTGGACAGCAGCCCCATCACCTGCACCACCACGCCGTCGTTGAGGGTGGCGTGCGCGTCCACGTGGCGGATCTTCGTGTGGCAGTTGGTGAAGTTCTGAGCCATCACCTTCCTGTGGATCTCCTGGGGACAGCCCAGCCCAGGGTGACGCCACCGCGCGGCGACCCGGCCCTCGGAGCCCCCGTCCGCGCCCACTCGAGCTCACCTTCTGGCCGTAGACGGCGTCCGCGGGCTTCCCGTTGGAGTCCAGGCCCCCGTGGACGTAGGAGGAGTTCTTCCCGTAGAACCTGCCGGGCACGGTCGGTGTCACGGCCCCTGCCCTCCCCTCGCTCCCTGGGTGCACAGATGCGCCCAGGCAGGAAGGAGGCGTTGGGCACCGCCAAGAGCCTCCTGGGCAGCGCCCACAGCAGCCGGCCCCCAGGACCGGCCCACACAGTCAGCAGTCAGCAGTCCCAGGGCTGAACTTCCCGTGGCCTTCATTCGTCAACTGCCTCAACTACACCATTCCAGGACCCTGAGGTGCGTGTCGGCCACGAGGGTCCCCCTGTTCCGCCTAGCACATAAGCCCCTGAGGCCCCTGGCAAGACTCTCCACGGCCTGACCCTCCTCTCCAGAATGGGGGCCAGTCGCCCAGGTTGCCAGACAGCAGAAGCAGCCATCACCGACTGCCCCAGACCCCTGGGACGAAGCGACCAGAACAGCAGACACGCGTGCACTGGGCAGCCTCTGCACTGCTCTAAGCTCACAGCTCCACAGGCCGGAGAACCAAACCTTAAAACACAAGGAACCTTCAAAGAAGCCAAACCTTGCTTGACTCTAAATAATCACGTGACAACAACAAGCAAAATTTTAATCCTGAGCATCCCTACTTCCAAATGACGTGACTTGGTCCAGAGCAATAGCACAGCGGGGAGGGTGTTTGCCTCCTGGACGAACCTGGGTTCGATCCCCGGCATCCCACAGGGTCCCCCGAGTACCACCAGGAGTCATTTCTGAGTGCAGAGCCAGGAGTAGCCCCCAGGCATCGCTGGGTGTGACCCAAAACAAATAATGATTCTAGAGGCCCAAGAGACAGTGCAAGGGGCACTTGCCCTGCGTGTGGTCAACACGGGCTCATTCCCCTGTGGTCCCCAGAGCACTGCCAGGAGGGTACGAGGGCCACCGCTGGAAGTCCTGGGCATCGCCAGCAGTGCCCTCGCCCCGGGTCAGCATGGCAGTCTAGTGGGAAGGGCGCCCAGCACTAGAGGGTGTGGCCCAACCCTAGGGCAAACTGAGTTAATGCCGACGCGTCACACCCGAGTGTCCCGCAAGCCACAGTCCTGTGTGTTCTCAGACAGTGAGGTGGACGGCTGGAGTGACTGGCCGGCAGGGCGGGCAGAGACCATCCCCGGCACCCCACAGTCCTGAGTCCCTCCGAGTGACCCCTGAACCTGGAGCCAGGGCCCACACCAAGCCAAGAGCAGCGGCCAGAGCGGGCGCACCGAGCCCACCCAGGGGCCACCGCCAGCCGCTCTGCCTTGTGTGGCGGGAGGGTCTCAGCACAGGCGCCCAACCCCCACGGCGCTGCCACAGCCCCGCAGACCCCCAGCAAAGGTCACTGGACCGGTGGGCAGAGCCAGGTGTGGCCTGAGTGGTCGGGGCAGGGCCTGCGGGGAACTGGCCGTCCGTCCGTCCGTCCATCCGTCCATCCCAGGCATGGGCACTTACCGGTGCAGCATGTCGGGGGCCTGGTTGAGCAGCGTGTAGTACTGCCGCACGAACTCCCGCCCGACCAGCAGGGGGCTCGGCTTCTCCATCACCATCGCTTTGACGAAGTCGACCTGGGGAGAGGTCACAGGTCAGCCTCAGGCGTCTGGGCGCTGGCCCAGGGTGGGCACAGGCAGGGCGCGAGCCCACCGCCTGCCACCCCCCCCACGAGCACTGCGCCAGGAGCAGCCAGGCAGGCACAGACGTGGCCCAAAGCTGGGAAGCAAACTCAAGGACCGAGACCAGGTGGTATCGGACCCTCTGCCTCTCCCGCCTGAGATGCGGGGATGACCCGCTGCTCAGGGCGGGGCAGCCTGACTCCACCTGGCCTGCACAGGCACACCTCAGGCAGTGCAGACCGAGTCAGGGTGACCGGGACTGCCCAGGGCCCGGGAGAGGGCGTGTCTGCACATGCTGACACCAGGTCCAGCCTTGGGAGGGCCTCGAGATAACCCTGCGCGTCCCACCCAGAGTCGCCAGACCCTGGGAGAGCATTGCCAGAAAAGCCAGTGTGAGGCCCAAAATCTGACCACGGAACACACGGCCCAGGCGGAGGAGGGTGGTGCGTGGGGAAGAGGGGCGGGTGGTGAGCAGAGCGGCAGGCCGGGTGGTGAGGCCAGCCCAAAGAGCGCCAGGAGGAAGCGGCTTCCCAGGAGGGCCATCAGGTCGGGGTCCGGACAGTCCTCCGGGAGGGCGCCCGTCAAATCCCTGAGTGACCCGAGCCAGCAGACAGGAAGGACAATAAGAACAACGTTCCTGACACTTGGGAACCAGCACGGACACCGCAGGGAAGCACCTTGCCTCGGCCCAACGCCCGGGCCCTGCGGCTGGTGGTTGGGCTGCTCAGACGCGCCCAGAGGGTATCTGCCCTCCAGAAGGCTAGGACCCGCCCACGGGCACCCCTGGGCAGAAAGCTGGGCCCGCCTGGAGGGGACCCCACTATACAGAGATTAGTGCCACTTCACAGAGGGGACCCACAGAAGAGCAGAGTCAAGGAATTAGGGACAAAACATTAGGAAAAAAATAAAATACAGGGGCTGAAGCGATAGCACAGCGGGTCGGGCGTTTGCCTTGCGGCCGACCGGGTTCGATTCCCAGCATCCCATCTGGTCCCCTGAGCACCGCCAGGAGTAATTCCTGAGTGCAGAGCCAGGAGTAACCCCTGTGCATCGCTGGGTGTGACCCAAAAAGCGAAATAAATAAAATAAAATACGGGGGTGGGGCATGACGGAACAGTAGCAGCAGCGAGGCTCAATTACAAGTGTCCACCCGCTCCCCTGAGCCCACCCGAGGGCAGAGCCAGGAGTCAGCCCCGAGCATTGCCAGGTGTGGCCCGAACAAAGCAAAAAGATGCCACCGAACGAAAAGAGCGTCAGTGCCAACCCCAGTGTCAGCACAGAACTCAAACTATGCTAAGTGTATCAGGACCGGAGTCGCGGGGCGGGAGGGCATCCCCTGCGCCCCGCCAGGAGGGACCCCTGGGCACCCTCAAGTGGGCCCAAAATAAAAGGCCTTTACAGAAATAAAAACCGCTGCCGCGAGCCAGAGAGACAGCATGGCAGGAGGGAGTTTGCAGCCGCCCAGGGGTCGCGGCTCCATCCCCAACACCCTGGACGGTCCGAGCGCAGGGCAGGGCCGAGCGACCACACAGCATCTCCAACCCCAGGGGTCACCGGGCGCCTCCCGCCCGAGGTGAGGGTGTCGTGGCACCCGCCCCCAGCAGTGATGCAGAGACTCAACCCCGAGGGAAGCTGAGGCCCCTGACCTCAGCGCCATCTTGGCAGAAATGCGAAATCGATCCAAAATACTTGAATTTCTATTAAGCACACCGTCCATTTTCGATGGGATTCTGTGTCCAGTGACTCCCCCGGGGGCTGGTCCCTCCCAAACTCCCTGCACGCTCACCCCCCCCACTCGCAGCCCTCCAGGGCAGCCTCCTGGCCACGCCGGGCAGGTCCCAGCTGGGCTTTCACTCCAGCAGGCACCTCTGGGCCTGGGTCACCATCTCTCAGGCGGGCCGCGGGTGTGGACGGGGGCTGGCCCGTACGCTCTGGTATGCTCAGACTGCGGGTGTGGGCAGGGGCTATCCCACCACGCATGGGTCAGAGACGGCTAGTGGGTCTGGGCAAGGGAGACGCTCACTGAGGGTCCCCCAGCTCGGGCCCTCAACCTGTCAGGACGAAGTCAGGATGCTGGGCAGGGTCACGAGCCCCCCAGTCCTGTTCTACCACCAAAGGGCCGGGGCAAGTCCATCTTAGAGAGGTCAGCTTCCCGGAGTGCCATGGACTCCGGAAGGTGTGGCGAGGCCACAGAGGAAGTGGAGCCCAGGACTGAGCACTGCCTGGGGCAGGGGCAGGGGTCTGGGCGGGCACAGCCCCCAGGTTCTGTGCCAGTACAGGGTGAGCTGGTCCGGCCCCTGGACAGCGGCAGGGACCCCCGACAGCCAGAGGGCCACCTCACTGTCACCGAGTGTCCATCCCAGAGAGATCCCAGGAACCTCCCGGGGCCGGGCAGGACCCCCAGGGCGGACCCCAGGCGGCTCAGCACGCAGCATCCCCGTGAAATAGGATTTCCGCGAACTGACTTATGGATCTAGTTCCTGATAATTCCATTTGCCATTCTGTTGTAACAAGCAGGATACAGTGACTTATTTCTTCTTGCCTGCCGAGGGGGCAGGCTCGGGGGCAGCTGGCAAACGGGGACGTGGCGGAAGGTCACACTGGTAGGGGGGTTGGCACGGGGACCCCAAATGCCGAAACAACCGATCAGACAACTCTGAGCCCCCATGATGAAATGAAAAACGTGCGACAGGGTCAGAGACGGCACAGCGGGCCGAGACCCCCTGCAGGCGGCCCAGGGGGTCCCTGGGCAGTGCCAAAAACAGGCCCAAGCACACGCTCCGTGTGGCCCCAAGTCAAGCAAGTGAGACCCGACACACACGGGAGATGAACACAGGGACACGAAGCCCTGGCCAAGGGGGGTGGACAGGCAGACGGCACGCCCGAGAGAGGGTGCTGGGGCCCCGCTGGGCAGCGTCCGACTACCTGTGTCCCCCTCCTCAGGGCTGGCCAGTGCTCGCTTTCACTGTTTAAACTCAGTATGCCAGAGTGACGGGACGGGGGGAGACACAGCCTTGCAGGCGGCCATCCCAGGCTTGTTCTCCACACCCCACAGGGTCCCCCGAGTCCCACCTGGAGTGATCCCTGAGCACCGGCAGGTGTGCCCCCTCCCCAAACATTCTTTTAAAAAAGGCCAGACAGTGCTCTGGAGCGTGTCTGAGAGAAAACCTGTACTCAGAGGCTGGGGAGACAGCACAGCGGGGAGGGCACTTGCCTCGCAGGAGTCTGATCCCCAGCAGCCCAGAGTCCTCTACGCACTGCCAGGGGGGATTTCTAAGTGCAGGGCCAGGACTAAGCCCTGAACACCGCTGGGTGTGACCCAAAAACTAAAAAAAAAAAAAAAAAAAGCCAGAGGTAGACCCTGAGCATCGCTGGATGTGACCCAAAAGAAAAAAAAGGAACCCATCCCCAGAAGCCAGAGCAGCCTCCGAGCGCTGGACCAGACGCTGGAGTCAAGCAGACCTCAACAGGCCACGCCAACCGCGGTCAGCTCCGAGCCCATCAGCAGGGCACAGTGGACAGCACCGGCGACCTGCCAGGGGTGACTCCCCAGAGCAGAGCAGGGGCCAGCCCCGGTGTGGCCCCGACACCAGGCCCGAGCAGCGAAGTGCACGCAGAGCCCTGCGCCAGCGCAGACTCTGCTGGGGGGGATGGGGTGCCGGGGGAACGGCAGGGACCAGACGACCCCCGCCACCTCCGGGGAGGAAGGGCAGGGACAAGCAGGCCTCAGGGAAAGGCGGTCTGGGGGCGTCACAGGGGTATGGCTGAGAGGCCCGGGCGATAAATAAGCTCAGAGCCAAGTGAGGGGAGGCAGACAGAACCCAGCGTAGGGGCAGCCGCCTCGCTGGACACCAGCCGCTGTCCTCGGGAGCAGAGCTCAGAGCTGCCCGCACACCGCCAGGTGTGGCCCCAACCCAGCCTGCAGCCGGGCGGGCAGAGCGCCAGCTCACGCCAGACAGCACGTGCACCAGCTCTGGACGCGGAAAAAGCGAGCGGCCCGACTCGAGCAAGTTTCCCAACCTGGTTTACTTAAAAGGAAACGGGGCCAGAGAGGCAGCAGAGAGGGGAGGGCGCCTGCCCGGCACAAAGCCGCCGGGTTCAACCCCGGCACCCCCTGAGCTGCCAGCGACCCAAGTGCAGACCCAGGAGGAACCCTGGGCATCGCGGGGTTCCCCCCACCCCCAAAAGAGACCAGCCTTCCTGACAAACCGTGAATGAGGAAACAGGCAACAGCCACCACTGGTCAGGCCAGGAGCAAGCAGGGGCTGACCCGCGGGGGCCACCCCTAGGACGAGCAGGTCCCAGGCGGCACGGTTTCAGGGCCACAGCAGCCCGGGCACCGTGTCCAGCCATGGTGGCAGTGAGTCATCCCACTGGACACCAGGCAGACCCAGCTGGGCTCCAGGGGGAAGGTCAGGAGTCCTGACCGGTAGGAAAGCTAAGGGAACACCCAGAGGCCGATCACTTCATCACCTTCTGATCAGGGCCAGCTGCTGCATGCCCATCGATCCCCCTGCCCACACCACTAGCCAACAGGCCAGCCAGGGCAAGCTCTGTCCAGCCCCTTAGGTGAGGCCCCGGAGCAAAAGGGAGAAAGCTGGCAGGAGGTCAGTGGACAGTCACCTCGGGAGGGCTTCCGGAAGCAGAAGGAAACCTAGTCGCCAGCTCGTCTGGGCTCCCACATCCCTCCAGCTGGGCTTCTCACTCACAGGACCGGGGCAGGGCAGAGCCAGGAGCGGCCCTGAGCGCCTCCAGGTGTGGCCCAGCAGCCCAGGTACCAAAGGCAGAAAACACCTCACAGGTCATCAGACGAGCTCGCAGGACAGGGCCAGGGACCAAACCGCCTCGAGGCTTGTCCCTGAGCCGAGCATCTACTGGCCTGTATGGGGCGTGTCAGGGCTGACTCCAGGTTCCGCACGCAGGGACACTCCTGGTCAGGCCTGGGGGACCTTACAGGGTGCATCCAAGGCCTGACTGCCGCACCATCCCCCTGGCTGCCAGCCATTTTGGTTTTTACCTACTTAAATTTCCCCCTTTATCAGCTCCGATTTCATCCAAGACAAGAACACAGAATCAAACCAACATGTAAGGCATATCAGAACGCTCAAATACTTTGAAACCACCTGAATAAAATGGTGAAAAATCAAGTGGGCAATTTTACTTAATGCTTAAGGAAAACAGTGGAGTGTTCTCTACCTCACCAGTACGCCTATGACGAACCCCCCCCAACCACACACACACACACACACACACACACAGAGACACACACACGGTGGACCTCTGCCCATGGTTTCCATGTAAAGCAATAAAACGCTTAGAAAGACCCAGTACTGGAAGTGCGGCAGCCTCCCTGGCGGGGCGGGGATTTCCTCAGTGTCTGCAGAGGGCTGAGTGGACCGCACCAGGGCACTGCACGCTGTGAGCTGTCCACGGCGGGATAGAGGCTGGATGGACTGAAGACCAGAGTAACCTTGGTGGGGCCGGAAGGAGCAGGGGCGTCCCTGGATGGCAGGCTCCTTCAGTGAAGGCAGGCACACAGGCGCGCACGCACACCTGCACACGTGCACCCCCCTACACGCACCCTCAATCCCCCCACGTGCCGTGTGCTGGAGGCCCAGACCAGGCTGTGGATCTTTTTCTCAACCGTGGCCGGGCAAACGGCCCCAAGTTTTCTTCCAGTTAACACGAAAGGTAATTTCGTGCCGGGCACGGCCCTTCACCGGCCTAAAAATCCCGAACTCGGACCTTCGACTGCCAGTTTAGAGGAGGGTGATCGGAGCCCGACACGTGACCAATTCGAAAGCTAAGCCCGGAGGGGCCGGCGCGGGTCACCCGGCGCCTAAGGATGTCACCGGCGGCCGCGCTACTTTGTTTGGCCGGGCGCGCCCCGGGGCGACGGAAACGCGGGCGGCCGGGCCGGACCCGCTCGCCTGGGACGGTCACGCGTCCCGCTCGGCCCACGGCGGCCCGGCCCGCCCTGGAGAGCGCCGGTCAGTGCGGGAATAAAGGCCGGGCGTGCGGGCAGCTGCGGCGGCCGGGCGCGAGCGCGCAGGCGGGCGCGGGGCGCGCGCCGAGAAGGGGACACGGCTGGGGACACGAGGGGCGCGGGCCCCGGCGCGCGCCGGGGACGGGACACGGGGCGGGGGCTCCGGCGTGCAGTGGGGGGCGCGGACTCCCGTGTGCACGGGTGGGGGGCACGGGGAGCTCCAGCGTGCACGGGTGGGAGCTCCGGCGTGCACGGGTGGGGGGCTCCAGCGTGCACGAATGGGCGCTCCGGCGCGCACAGGTGGGGGGGCACGGGGATGAGCTCCGGCGTGCACGGGTGGGCGCGCGGGAACGGCCCCGGCGCCGCGAGTGGGCTGCCGCGCGCCCCCGGCCCGCACAAAGGCCGCGCACCTGTCGGCCGCGCCGCACGCCCCCGGCCGAGCCCCCCGCGTGGGGTGCGCTCCCGCCCGCGCCCGCGGCCCCCGGCCCGCGCCCCAGCCCCGGCGGGCGCGTGGGCGCGGCCCCGGCCCGCGTGGCCGTTGGGCGCGCGCGGGAGGAAGCGGCCACGCGCGGGCCTGCGCCTGCGCCCGCGCCCCGGCCGTTGGGCCCCGCGCCCGGCCCGCGCCCGGCCCGCGCCCCGCGCGCCCGCCCGCCCGCCCGCCGCCCGCGGCCCACCTGCGCGGCTGAACGGGGCAGCGACGAGCGAGGCTCCGGGCGCGGGAACGCGGAATGCCCTCACGCAGCGGCGTCCGCACACACGCGTGCTCCGGCGCCGGCCTATATATGCGCGCGCAGCCCAACCTGCTGCGGCCGGGCGGGCCCCCGCCCGCCAATCCGCGCGCGCCCTCCGCGCTCCTCGCGCTGCCATTGGCCGCGCCGCCGGGGCGGAGGCGGGGCTCTTGATTGGCTTCGGCGCGCGCCTATGGACCCAGAGGGCTCGCCGTTCCCTAGTAACGGACTGGCAGGCCCCGCGACCAATGGCGTGCGGGCACGGGGGAGGGGGGCGGGGAATCGCTCGAGTGATGCTCGTCGCAGCCAATAAGCGCATCGAGCGGCTCCGATTGGCTCAGGCGCCTTCCCCGGGCGGAGATCCGCTCTCCGTGCAGGAGCGGTTGCTCCACAAGGTGGGGCCCGTGTACTTTGGGGAAGTAAACCCCAAGTAAGCAGGGGGTGGGCGCGGGAAGGCCGCGGCCGGCCAGCCAATGACGGCGCGGAGCGGAGCTGATTGACGGGCGGACGCGGCCGCCGGGCCCCGCGCGCAGACCCGGCGCCCCAGCTGTCACCCGCTTGCAGCGGCGCAGCCACGTGCGGGCCGAGGGCCGCGCCGACCGCCCGGGACGCCGGACCCGCTCCCGCAGCGACCCCCGGGCGGGCGCTCTTTGTCTTCTCGCCCCGATTGGGGCTGGAGGGCCTCAGACGCCCGCGCGCCCCCCGGGACGGGGAGAGGGCGGGCGGGGTGGGCTTACCGGGGGTCCCCCAGCACCCCTGCGGGTGGCCGGGTTCCGGGGGAAGGGGCCCGAGTCGGGGCCCCGCGCCGGGCTGGGGCTTCACGCCGGCTCTGCTCTGTGGGTTTACGTTCCGGAAGGCTCCGCCAGCGGCCCGGACTCGGCGGTGCCCGGAGCCTCGGACCCCAGCACCCTCGGGCGCTGTCCGGCCCGCGGACTGGCACGGTCAGGCCCCACAGTCGCTCTCAGCGGGCAGGAGCGCCGAGGAGGGCCGGTCCGCCCCGGCAGAGCATCAGCAAGGGGGGGAGGGGTTGGGGGAGGGCCCGGCCGAGCCCCTCCCACCCCGCCCGCCCGGGGAGGAAGGAAGGGCCCTCAGAGCATCTCCGCAAAGGCCACGGAAGCTCGGACCTGTAGCTCTCCTAACCTCTCACCTCTGAACCTAACCACAAGGCCTGAGGCTGCCCACAGGAAAGGGAGGTGCCTGGGGCAAGGGAAGGAGCAAAGGGTGTTTCCCAGTTAGGAGCCGGCAGTCAGGGGGTCCCACAGTCCCCGGCCAGGAGGACCGGTCCACAGATGGGGGCTTGCCACAAGTCCAGAAGAGAGGGCAGTTAGGACCGAGAAGAGACGACTGTGACCACGATCCTTGGAAATGGTCACTCTGGACAAGAATTGAGGGCTGAAAGGAGGCGAAGGGATACACATGATAGCCTTTCAATACCCGAACTGCAAACTCTAATGCCCGAAGGAGGGGGAGAAAGAAGAAGTGTCTGCCAGAGGGAAACTGGGGACATTGGTGGTGGGAAACGCGCAGTGCTGAAGGTGTTGGAACATTGTATAACTGAAAGGGAATGGTGAGCAACTTTGTAACTGTGTATCTCACCAGTGATTCAGTTTCAAAAAAAGAAAGGAAAGGAAAGTGGTCCCAAGGGGAGGGCGCGCTGGGGATGGTTCAATGAGCTGAAGCCAGGCTGACTGCGTGCTGGAGCCCAGGTTCCAGCCCCAGCACTCCGTGGAGTGAGCACTGCACTTGGGGTACCCCAAGAACAACCCCATCCCAGCACTCTTCCTTCAGGTAGAGCTTTGGAAAAGGGGCTGCTGAGAGTACAGGGGGTAGGGCACTTGTCTTGCGTGCAGCCAGCCGGGTTCAACCCCCAGCACCCCATATTAGTCCTGAACCACTACCAGGAGTGATTCCTGAGTGCAGATAAGCTCTGAGCACCGCAGAAGGGCCCTACCCCCCCAAAAAAAAAACTTTTAAAAGACTTCCGAGTTCTGATCTACCCTCCTCCTGACCCACAGCGACCCCAGATGCTGCTGAAGTGTTTGTCCATTTTGGGTGGTCTGTTGTTTGGGGTTGACCCAGCAGCTCCAGACAGGCGCTTCAGTGCTAAATCCGTATTCAGGCTCAGCCCTCTCGGCCGCCTGACACAGCCAGGAGGCAGAAGGCTCCTGGAATTTATGACAGTGCCGGTCCCAGCAGATGGGAAACTAAGGCAAAAGAAGTTCAGTAGCTACTGGATGGTTCATAAGGAAAATGACGGGGGGAGGGGAGTGTGGAAGGGTGATTAACTGGTCATTTTATATCCAGCCAAGGCAGACAAAGGGATGCTTGGGGTGGGGAGGTAGGGGCAGATAACAGGAAGCCCCCAGCAAGGCAAATCTCTCTTTGTCCCCTCTCCTAAGTCTACACAAACAGCAGGAGAGACAGCCAGGGATCTCCACCTTGGCTGCAGCCAGGGACTAAGGAAAGCCGAGGGGACAAGGAGCCCCTGGGGGAATGGTTCTGGTGAGGCCATTGGGGAACGGTCCTGGTGAGGCCAGTGACAGGTTAGAGGGCAGCAGGCACACCAAAGGGACACGCTGTATTGTTTGTAATGCTGAAAACTCGTGCGACCGTGTACCAGCCAGCTAGCCAGACTCTATACATGTGAGCCGCACCGGAGAACTGATTCCATGCAGGAATTCATTCCACTCATCTATTTCGCTATTGTTGTGGGGCACAGCATTCAATGCTCAGGGGTGCCTGCAGTGCTGGGGTCAAGCCCAGGGCCTCAAACACGCGAGGCAGGAGCTCTGCCACTTGTAAGTTTTGTTTGGGGGCCACACCCGGGAGTGCTCAGGGCTTACTCCTGGCTCTGTGCTCAGGAATCCCTCCTGGATAGACTCGGGGGCCATGAGCGGTGCTGGAGTTTGAACCTGAGCTGGCCGTGTGCCAGGCAAGTGCCTTCCCTGCACCCATCCTCTGGGCCTGGGTCGGCCACCTATGCCCCATCCTGGCAGTGCCACGGTAGGTTTATTTTGGGGTAAGCTACGGGAAGAGGGTTGGCCATATCCTGCAGTGCTCAGGGGCTATTCCTGTCTCAGCGTTCAGTTGACCCCCTGGAAGTGCTCAGGGGACAGTATGTGGTGCCAGGGGTTAAAACCAGGATCAGCCACATGAAAGGTGAGCCTGAAAGCCCTGTTCTCTGCCCGGCTTGAGTGGTGGTTTTAACGACTGAGCAAGTGCACAGATGTAATGTACATGCCTGTTGGGGTATTTCTATACAGCCATACACTTTTAAGTACATGTTTAAATATTACACCTATGTGACCGAAATTTCCAGAGCAATTCATCATTTTGAAGGGGGGTTTCTTTTTCAGCTTTGAACTTTGAACTTTTGAGCCTCACACCTCCAAAGATCCGCCTCCGGCCAGCTGCTCAGAGGTTCCTCCTGGCAGGGCTGAGGGGACCACGCGGCGGTGGGGACTGACCCCAGGGCCCTGGGAGTCCCGCGTGGTCCCCGGGCACCCCTGGGAGAGAAGCTGGAGGGGGGGGAGAGCCCAGGGCAGCCGTGCGTGGCACACAAGCCCCCCCGGAACCTGGACAAGGACCGTCTCCTGCAAACCACGTGCTGCTGGAACGATCCCCCTCGCTCCCGCCCCCAAGGCGGACGCGGCCCCGCTGCAGCCTGCGCGCCGCGCGGAACCCGCCGAGCCGAGTGGGGCGCGGGGGCCCGGCCGGAAGGCCGCGGCCGGGCGGGCGGGGCCTGCGGGGCGGAGCCTGCGGGCGCCGCGCCGATTGGGCGGGCCCAGTGGGGGCGGGGCCTGCGGGCGCGGCGTCGATTGGGTGGGCCCGGCGGGGGCGGGGCCCGGGCGAGCACTCCCGGAAGCACCGCCCCCGGCCCGAGCCCCAGCCCGGAGCGCTGCCGTCATGCCGGTAAGTGGCCGGTGTGGCCCCGCGAGTCGGACTGCGGGTGTGTCCAGGGCCACCGGAAAGGACATACCGAGGGAGGCCCCAGCGCGCGTGACCCCAGCCCGATCGGCGCAGGACACCCCGCTGGGCACAAGGGGCCCGCCGGGCCAGCCGGGGAGAGGGTCCCTGGGGCAGCCCGGGAGAGGGTCCGTGGGGTAACCTGGGAGAGGGTCCCTGGGGCAGACTGGGAGAGGGTCCCAGAGGGAGCCGGGGAGAGGATCCGCGGGGCAGAGGGTCCCCGGGGCAGCCCGGAAGAGAGTCCGTGGGGTCAGCAGGCGCTGCAGGTCTCAGCCAGGTGGACAGGCCCCCGGAGCCGGGCCAGCGCCCCCCTGCTTCCCCCACTCCCCGACCCCACCAGAGTGCTGGGCCCAAGTGGCCACAGCAGCCAGCAGTCCAGCCCGAGCCTTTGGGGCCGCCCGAGACCAGCCCTGCTCCTCCCCGCGGCCCCGTGACCTAGCGCCAGCCCTTGGGGAGCCCCAGGTGAGCCCTGGCTCAGGTAACCGTTCCCATGGGCTGCCAGGTGCCAGGAGACGGGTCAGACCACATGCCCCGCCCCGCTGTGGGGCCCCAGGAGCCGCCTGCTGTCTACACTTGTTTGCTTCTGAGCCTGCTGAGTGGCCAGGCCCCGAGGGCAGGGCAGTGTGAGGCCCGTCCACCCTGCCCATCTGTGCCTCAGTTCCCTGCCAGGTCCAGAGGCGTCCACCGCACACCCTCCTTTTGAGAGCGGCTGGGGCTGTGGTCTGACCACAGCCTGACCCAGGCCCCGACCAGCAGCTCAGCCCGGGAGTGGAAAGCTGGTGTGGGAGTGTCCCCCACCAGGGGTGGGACATGGGCTGGAGGTGTCCCCGCGGCTATCCTCTGCTGGGTCCTGCTCCCCCCAAGCCCCTGCCCGGTGGGGAGGGGCAAGGCCACGGGGGTCTCTGCTGTCCCCAGCAGTTCCGGCCAGCTCAGCCCTGCTCAGTGGGAGGGCAGGCGGGGAAGGGCAGGGCAGCCGCCCGGCCTCGCTCTCCCGGCCGGCCGACCCCCACGCCAGAGCTGGAGATCAAGGCCCCCTGGCCGCCAGTTCTGGGGCGGACACCAATACCCGAGGCCTTAGCCGGGGCGGGATGTCCCCGCGCCCCTGGATCCCCTGCCCAGTCCAGCCACACCCGGCAGGCCGCTTGAGGCTCCAGGCCTGCCTGCCCTCGGCTGCAGCCGCCCCTCTGTTCCAGAGACACGAGTTCTCCGTGGACATGACCTGCGAGGGCTGCTCCAGCGCCGTCACGCGCGTGCTCAACAAGCTGGGAGGTGAGCAGGGCCTGGCCCAGCACCAGGATCCTCCCCACACAGTCCCTCCCCAGGGGTGCTCCCTCCTCCCTGCCCCTGTTCCCCCCTGTAGGGGTACTCCCTCCTCCCCACCCCTGTGCCCTCCAAAGGGGTGCTCCCTTCTTGCCCCAGGGGTGCTCCCTCCTCCCTGCCCCATACCTCTGCAGGGATGCTCCCTCCTTCCCACAGGGGTGCTCCCTCCTCACCCAGGGGTGCTCCCTCCTCCCTGCCCCTGTTCCCCCCTGCAGGGCTGCCCCTTCCTCCCCCACAGGGGTGCTTCCTCTCTCCGCCCCCATTGCCCCCTGTAGGGGTACTCCCTCCTCCCCACCCCTGTTCCCTCCACAGGGGTGCTCCCTTCTTGCCCCAGGGGTGCTCCCTCCTCCCCCCAGGGATGCTCCCTCCTCCCCCACAGGCGTGCTCCCTCCTCCCTGACCCATCCCCCTGCAGGGGTGCTCCCTCCTCCCCCAGGGATGCTCCCTCCTTCCCACAGGGGTGCTCCCTCCCCCAGGGGTGCTCCCTCCTCCCCACAGGGGTCCTCCCTCCCCTGGCCCTGCCCCCCTGCAGGGGTGCTCCCTCCTCCCCGCCCCATCCCCCTGCAGGGGTGCAGTTTGACATTGACCTGGCCAACAAGAAGGTGAGCATCGACTCGGAGCACGGCGTGGACAAGCTGCTGGAGACCCTGGGCAAGACGGGCAAGGCTGTGTCCTACCTGGGGCCCAAGTAGGGTCCGGGCTGAGCAGGTGGGTGTGGGCGCCCGGCCAGGCCCCACTGCGCCCCTGCTCCCCACGAGGTCAGCGCCCCCTGCCCCAGTCGGCCCCGAACAGCATTTCTCTGCCTGTGACTCTGCCCCTCGTCTCCAGGCTGTGACTCCCCCCGAGCCTGGGGTGTCCCGCACTGCCCCCCATCCCCACGGCCTCTGCCCACGGACGGGTGGATCAGCCTGCAGGCCAGGACTGGCCACACCTCTGGGCACTGTGGCCAGCGCCCCAGCCCAGCCCCTGCCCCCGGCTCACCTCATCAATGGCTACCCTGAGGCCACCCTTAGTCCCCTGCCTGCAGCTCAGCAGGACAGGGACCCCCTGCTCCCCGGCCCTCACTCCATACCCTCGAGGCCCCGGCTTCCAGGGCAGGTGGCTCAGGGTGATGGCCACCAGTCGCCCCTGCCTGGAGCCTGTGCCCGCCTGAATCCAGGTTTAGACCGAGTCTGGGGACCAGTGTCCACACTGCAGACCAGCGTCAACCCCCTGCAGTACCAGGTGGCGAGCAGCAGGTGGCGCCCCTGCCCACCACCTCTGTCTTCCAGGATGCCCGCCCGTGCCCGCCTGCCCGCTGGTCCTTTGGACCCCAGGAATAGCAGACGTGTTTCCTGCAGAGATGTGCCCCGCACCCCCCTGGGATCCCTGCAATAAAGTCCAGCCGCCCTGCCCAGAGGCGCGTCTCTGTTGTGCTGTCTCACATGGGGGCCTGGGTCGGGCTATGGGGTGCCCAAGCCCCCTGGACAGCCCCTCTGTTCTTGTCCTGGGAGTCACAGTGGACAGCATCGAGTGCAGGTGTGTGTGTGTGTGTGTGTGTGTGTGTGTGCATGGGTGGGGGGGCACAAGGGGTGTCTATGTGTGGGTACAGGGTTTGGGTATGGAGTGGGGGGGGTGTATTTGTGAGTATGAGACTGTGTATTTGCGGGTGTGGGTACAGTGGGGGCAGTGTGCGTGCATGCATGTGTATCTGGGCAGGGGGCAGTGTGTGTACATGCGTGTGAGTATGTGTGTGTGTGTGTAGGTATGGGGTGTGGGTGTGCATGTGTGTCTGCGTGTATGAGTCTAGGTATGGGGTGTGGACTTGCATGTGTGTGTGTGTGTGTGTGTGTGTGTACGGGGGGTGGGGCATGTATGCTTGTCTGTAGGTAGGGGTGGGGGTGTGACCGGCCCTGCTCCTTTCTGAGGGTCAGCACCTCTGAAGTGTCCCCAACTGACCGCCTTGCCCTCAGGTGGGGTGTCCGCTTGTGAGCGTGGCAGGACAGGCTGGATTCAGTCTGACCCTCCCTCATTCTTGCCATGGCCTCGGGGTCCAAAGTGAGATCTTCCCCGGCTAAAGAAGCCCCCACGCCACTCCCGGGTGGGCCCCGAAACAGAGCAGAGCCCGCAAACGCCACTGGCCACTGACCGCCCTTCTGGGTGTCAGCCGGGCGGCCAGCCGGCCAGGAGGGGCCTCACACTCTCCCCTGCCTTAGCAATTGGGGCCATGCGGGCACAGGACTGGCCTCAAGGGCTGGCCCCTTGCCCGGGCCTTTCCCCCCCCCTAGGTGGCGCCCCTGCACCTCTGCAGGGAGGAGGCTGGGCAGCAGTGCCTGGCCCTTCGGGTGATCCCTGGCCGGCCCCGCAGGCAGGAGCCCTCTGAGACCCAGCAGTGTCTGTCCGCTCGGCCTTCTCCGGCAGCCCACACCCACCCGAGTTCTCGTCTCCTGGGGGGTCCGGGCCCCGGGAGGGAGCCTGAGGTGGACGGGTGTGGGGGGCGTTTCCCAGTGGGACGGGCACTCTGCCAGCAGCCAGCCAGTGAATGGGGCTGGGGGCAGGGTGGGGGTCACCTGGGCTGGGGTCCCAGCAGAGGGTCTCAGCGCCCCTCCCCAGGGTATGGAGATGCTGGGCAGCTGGACACACTCAGGCAGGACTGGAGGACACTAGGTGCGGGCACCGCCACCCCTATACCAGCACAGCTGAGGGGAGACAGGGTGGGGGTGGACACTGGGCCCAGGACAGCAAGGGGGCAGAGGGCAGGGGGCTCCCTCCGGCTCTGCAGTGGGCCTGCCCCACACTGGAGGCCCCTCAAGGAAAAGCCCGTCCTCAGGGCCCCGGGGCACGTGAGCGCGTCCCCTGCAGTTACTGCCAGGGCCCAGCCCCTCGTCTCTGGGGGCAGCCTCCCGCAGGGGCGCCCTGGACCCAGCCAGCCGGGATGTGCCTTCTAGAACATTCCCCGAGCCACCCCTCCATGGGGCACCCCCTCCCAGGCCCGCGGGGATGGAGGTTGCAGGGAGGCCCGGAACCGGTGAGCCTGTGGCCAGCTGGGAGGATGGGGCCTCCCAAAAGACCGACCTTGGCTCTCTCCTAGGGAAGGAGGCAGCTGCCTGGCAGTCCCCACACGCTCCAGGGGCCGGGCAGGCAGGGCCCACCTCGGGAGGGCAGGACCCCCACACGGGCCACTGGGTGCCCCGGCCCACCGGACACGCCACTGCCGGGTGCAGCAACTGCCCTGAGCAAGATTGCGAGAGGCCGGGCTAGGCAGATGGACGGTGGACAGACGAGTAGACAGACGGGTGGATGGATGGGCAGACGGATGGACGGGTGGGCAGATGGGTGGATGGGTGGGCAGACGGGTGGATGAGTGGACAGATGGGTGGATAGATGGGTGGACGGGTGGACAGACGGGTGGATGAGTGGACAGACGGGTGGACAGTCGGGTGGACAAGTGGACAGATGGGTGGACAGGTGGGTAGACAGGTGGACAAGTTGTTAGACGGGTGGACGAGTGGGCAGATGGGTGGATGAGTGGACAGATGGGTGGACGGGTGATGAGTGGACAGACAGGTGGACAGACGGGTGGACGAGTGGACAGACAGGTGGACAGCTGGGTGGACGGGTGGACAGATGGGTGGATGAGTGGACAGGCGAGTGGACGGGTGGACAAGTGGACAGACGGGTGGACAGGTGGACAGATGGGTGGACAGGTAGGCAGACAGGTGGACAAGTGGTTAGACGGGTGGACGAGTGGGCAGATGGGTGGACGAGTGGACAGATGGGAGGACGGGTGATAGTGGACAGACAGGCGGACAGACGAGTGGAAGAGTGGACAGATGTGTGGAAGGGTGGACGACGGGGACAGGTGGACAGTGGGTGGATGGGTGGACAGACGGGTGGACGGATGGGTGGACAGACAGGTGATAGATAGGTGGACGAGTGGACAGACAGGTGGATGGGTGGGCAGACGTGTGAACGATGGGTGGACAGACGGGTGGACGAGTGGACAGCGGGTGGACGGGTGGACAGATGCAGCATGAGAGCAAGTGTGGACAGACGAGGCCAGCTAAGCCCACCCGCCTGGGCCGAGCTGCCCCTATACCCCGAGAGGTGCAGACGGACACCCTCGGGCTTGTCCACCCATCTCCTCGGTCTCTGCTGTCCAGCTTCACGGCCCCTGCACGCCACCACCCGCACGCGAGCCCTCCCTTGGTGGGGGTCCTTCACCCCCTGACAGGCCCGTGTCCCGTCACCTGCGTGCTGGCAAGATGGGGCAGCAGGCAGCAGGGGCCCTGCCGGCCACCCTGTCCCTGACTCGGGTCAGGCCCCGGGCCCTCCCGCTGCTCAGGAACGCCCCCGCTGGGCCTGTCCCCAGCTGCAGTGCCCCATAATAAGGTGTTTTGAAAATACGGTTTTCCTGTGCAGGACGGAGCCGCGGCCGCCCCGCCAGGCGGGCACTGGGCCTCTTCCAGCGGGGTGTCGGCCAGCTGGGAAGGGAACCCGCCTGGGAGCGCCAGCGGGCGACAAAGGCCAGCACTGTGATCCCGGCGGGCCCGCAGCCCCCCGCGCCCGGGCAGGTGAGGTCACAGCCCGCGGCGGCTTCCTGGCGCCCCCCGGCCCCTCGCCTGCAGGCGCCAGTACTTTTCCAGCGGGACAGCCGGGGCGTCCAGGCTGGGCACCCCAGCCCGGGCGGTCTCGTCTCCCAGCCCCTCCCGCAGAGAGACGGGGACGAGGGGCTGCGGGTCAGCCCAGGCGGGCCAAGAAAACCCGTGTGAGGCCGGCTGGCCGAGCTCAAGTCCCTCCCAGCACCCCACGGCCCCTCCGCACCCCGGGCCTGCTCGCGGCCCCTCGAACAAAACAGCCTTGATCGCTGGGTGTAAATCAGACTTTCCTTTCTTTCCCTTCTCAGGGTCTTTGAGACCCTCAGTAGAGCCCTCTGGGCCCCAATTCGAGACGAGGGAGTCATGGGGCAGGTACCTCGGTCCACACACACATGCACACACACAGCCCAACCACACACAGCAATATACGCACACACACAGCCCATCTACATAAGCATGCATGCACCACACAGCCCGTTCACACACACACAGCCCGTCCACACACACACAGCACCCACACACACACAGCCCTTACACACACACACAGCGTCCACACACACACACACACACACACACCGTCCACACACACGCACACACTGTCCACACACACACAGCCCGTACACACACACATAGCCCATCCACACACACACACACAGCCTGTCTACACACACACAGCCCGTCCACACACACACAGCACGCACACACAGACTCACACACAGCCTGTCCACACACACACATACACATCCCGTATACACACACACACACACACGGAGCCCCCTACACACACACACACAGCCCGGCCACACACAGCCCATACACACACACATAGCCCGTCCACACACACACAGCCTGTCTACACACACACACAGCCCGTCCACACACACACACACAGCACACACACACACACTCACACACAGCCTGTCCACACACACATACATACACATCCCGTATACACACACACACTTGGAGCCCCCTACACACACACACACAGCCTGTCTACACACACACACAGCTGTCCACACACACACACAGCACGCACACACACACTCACACACAGCCTGTCCACACACACACACATACACATCCCGTAATCACACACACACACACAGCCCGGCCACACACAGCCCATACACACACAGCCGGCCACACACACAGCCAATACACACAGAGAGCCTGTCCACACACACAGCATGCACACACACACACGCAGTTCGTACACACACACAACATGTATACACATACAGAGCCCCCTAGACACACACACAGCCTGACCACACACACACACACACGCACAGCCCGTCCACACACAACCCATCCACACACACACACTGTCCAGACACATACACAGCCCGTACACACACACGCAGCGTATCCACACACACACAGCACGTATAGACACACACACGGAGCCCACTACACACACACAACACGTATACACACACAGAGCCCCTTAGACACACACATAGCCTGATCACACACACACATGCACACCCCGTCCACACACACACAACCCATCCACACACACACTGTCCAGACACACACAGCCCGTACACACACACGCAGCGTATCCGCACACACACAGCACATATAGACACACACACGGAGCCCCCTACACACACACACACACACAGCCTGTTTACAGAAAGGCTGGTGCCTTCTCGGGTGTCGCCGGGCAGAAGCAGGTGGGCCGAGGCGGGCTGGCCACCGACGTCCGGGGGAGGCGGGGGTCACTGCTGCCTTTACCACGTCCCCCACAGGGGAAACGGATCTGGCTTGTGTCTACGTCACAGGGCACGGGCAGGGGTGCCGCGCCACAGCAAGGCGCCCAGGGTCCACTCCCAGTAGTACCACACGGGGTCCCCAGCCCACCCCGTGTGGCCCCCAAACAACACAAACAACACCACAGGGGAGGGACCCTGTGAGAGCTGGAACTGGGGTGTGGCCACGAACTTCGGAAAGCGTTGGGGTGTCAGCGCAGAGCAGGGGGCAGCAGCCTCTCTCCTGTGGGGCCGTGGGGCACGTCCCGGGGCTGCGGCTGGCCGGGTGCGGGGAGGGACTGGGCCTGCCGCGGATTGAGCCCGGCTCCCTCTCAGGCTCCTCGGCCCACAGAGGCCCAGGCCAGCAGCTGTGGGCCACGCCGTGCCGCGCTCAGCCCCGGGCTGGCAGGTGACAGCCCCAGAGGCGCCCGCGGTGCCAGGCCCCTCCACGTGTGGCACAGACCAGGCGCGTTGGGGCACGCAGGTCAGGAAGCGCAGGAGGCCTCGGAGGCCAAGGAGTCGCACCCGGGCTCGGGTCTCGGGGCTGAGCTCTGAGTCCCTCCGCCCGTGGACACTGCAGAGCACTGAGGTTTCTTACTCCGGCCGGCCATGCTGGGGCCGTGCTGGGGCTGTGCTGGGGCTGTGCCGGGCCGTGCCGGGCCGTGTGGGAGCCGCGCCAGGCCTGAGAGGCCCGGGCAGGTAGCGGCGGGCTGGCTGGGTGTGGCCGAGGCAGGAATCTGGGCGGCCCCCGGCATCCTTGCTGTCTCTCCAGAACCTGCTTCTAGAAAGTCCCAAGCAAAGCTCTGCAGGGCGGGGCTGGGGGCTGGGGCAGGGCCACCGGGAGACGGGGACCCCGGGCGGGCCACGGGGTGGGCAGCCCAGGGAAGACGGGTCGGGGAATAGTGCTGGGGCCGTCCCCAGGAGCGGCCGAATCCACGGGTCTCCTGACTCTCCCTGGGTCCGGGTCCCCCACCCACGCCACCCGCCCACGACTTTGCCCCAACCCCAGGGAAGCAGGCAGGCCCAAGGTGCTCAGGGCTGACTCCCGGCTCTGTGCTCAGGGCTGACTCCCGGCTCAGTGCTCAGGGCTGACCCCTGGAGGGGCTCTGGGAACCCTGTGCAGTCAGTGCTGGAGGTGGAGGCCGGCTGCCCAGGCCTTCATGTTTCTCTCCAGATTCGGGCAGGGATCCTGAGAGAGAGCCATGGGGGGCGGAGAGTGGGGACGTGGCGGGGCGGGTGGGGGCGGGGCAGGCACTGGGGCTGCAGCAGTGGCGGCGTGGCAGGGGGCTGCGGCCTAGGCGGGAGCTGACCTCAGCCCTCGGGAATGTCTGGGAGGCACCGGGCGGGCGGGCGGCAGCTGGAGGGAGGGAAGAGGGGCGGGGGCTGGGGCCAGGCCAGGTGGGCGCCGGCTGCATCTGTGGCCTTGAATGGGGCTTTCGGGAAGGAAACAGGCCCCCCCAACACACACACACTCTCACACTCTCACACACACACACACACACACACTCTCACACTCACACACACATACACACTCTCACACTCACACACACACACACACACACACACACACACACACACACACACAGTGAGCCCAGGGCAGGGGCTGTGGGGAATTGGGGAGACAGTGACAGGGGACAGGCCAGCAGGCCTCCACAGAGAACTGGCCGCCCCCCCACCAGATCCTGCTGGTCTCCCCCCGCCCCCAGAGGAGCAGATGGAGACCCCCAGTCCCAGGGGATGGCAGGGCGGGGCTCTGGAGGAGGAACTGGGGGCACAGGGTGGGGTCAGACGGGGGCTTCCCGGGGGTCCTGGGCAGGATCCGGCTGCCACATCCCTATGAGACCCTGCCAGCCCCCAGCCCCCGCACCCTAGCCTGTCTCAGGGCCGGAGGGGAAGGCAGCCAGGCCAGTGGGAGGGCTGAGTCACCACCAAGCCAGGCTGCCTGGAGCCCTGCCCCTGCCCGGGGGTTCCCTGTGAGACTCTTCCTTAGCTGGGCCTCCCCTCCGCCCCCCCCCCCCCCCCGCACCCTCCAGCGAGGGACCCTGGAAGCCACCCTTTCCTGACCATTTGGGGTCAAAGTGGGGCTCAGTTTCCCCAGTCACGTCTGTGGGCACCTCTGGGGGGGCCGGGCCTGGAGCAGGGGATGGTGATATCTAGGGGAAGGGACCTGGGTCAGCCCCGTGCAAGGCAGGCGCCCACCCACGGAAGCATCGCTCCCTGCTCCCTGCACCGGGTTGGTGCTCCCTGCTCTGCCTTGGGGTGGTGCTCCCTGCATCGGGGTGGTGCTCCTGCTCTCCGCATCAGGATGGTCCCCAGATGCTGCCGTGGCGGCTGAGCTGGCCCCCTTTCCTGCGTGGTCGTCCTCCTTCCTTTTTGTTCGAAGTTTTGGTTTGGGGGCCATGCCCGGGGCTGGACACCACACGGTCTCTCCAGACGGGCGCCCTTTCCTGTGGAACATCCTTGGAACCATGGAGGGCTGGGCCCTCGTGGTGAGGGGACACAGCCCTGGGCCACCCAGGATGGACAGAGCGTGGGCTCTGGTTTCACAGGTCGAGGCACGGACAGACAGACAGGGAAGAACCGACCCACCCCGGGAGCGGGTCCACGGAGCTCTGTGGCTGGAGTGGCCTGTGTCCATTCCACCTGGCACCGTGTGAGCTGGACACTTCCCAGGAAACTGGCCGCCCGCCCCAATCCTGTGCCAGACAGTGGGCCCATCCTGGGCAGGGGTGCAGACAAAGGCGCCCCTATGCTGCGCCCCACAGAGGTGCCTCAGAGCTGACACCCGATCTGGCCCTGCAGGCTCCCGAGGGTCCCCCAGTCTGGAGCCCACTCAGGGGTCCCTGGGCTCGCTAAGAACAGGCGACACGCTGAGCTGTGAGGGGCGGGGGCGGGCAGGGGCGGCCCAGGGAGGGGGGGCTGTGGCCCTCCTCGGACCCCGCGGTCATGGTCCCCCAGGCCTCAAGCCCCCTTCCCCGAGACAGAGTGAGTCCACGCAGGGGAGTCTGGGGGCCACTGCAGCGGCCAGCCAGCCCAGCTCCTCGCCCCACTGACCAGCACTGGGCAGCCGGGGCCTGGGCTCGGGGCTCCTGGCTGGCTCCTCTCCCTCTGCTGGGGCAGCGGCTTCCGGCCCTGGGCCCTGGGGCCAGAGAGTGGTGACAGGTGCCGGGTGCCGGGGCTGAGATGCAGGCCCTGGTCTGGGGAGCCACGTGGCCCTGTGTGGCCCCCAGGAAGAGCAGAGGCAGGTGGAAGACAGGAGGGAGGCCCCCGGTGTGGGGCCAAGAGCCAGGCCAGGGCTTACGGGGGGCAGGCGGCCGTGGTTCCTGAGAACGCTCCCTAACCCCCACCCCGTCGATGTAAGGCCCACGGCCCGGCCCTCGGGGCACGCACGGCAGCTCAGCAGGGCAGTGGCCAGTGGGGGTCCCTGAGCTGGGCCTGACCGCCCTGACCCCTCCCGCACCCGGTGCCAGCGGCGAGCTGGGGACTCCTGCCGCGGCCGGGCCCAGAACAAGGAGGAGACTGTTCAGGGGGGCTGACGCTGGGGTCAGGACGGCGGCCCGGAGGGAGGAAGGAAAGGGAGCCGCCACCGCCGCCGGGGGACGGGGATGGGAGGGGGACGGGGAGGGGCGTGGGGGCCCGCCCACCCCCCGGTTTCCGGCCTTGCTCCTTCTAAAGCCCTCTCGCATTCCTGGAGACTCCAGAGCCAGCCCAGCCCAACCAGCACAGCACAGCCGCGCTGCCTGCCGCCTGCCGCCGCCTGAGGTACGTCGTCCCGCCCGCCCGCCTGCCTGGGAGCCCGCCGGGCACCGCACCCCCATCCACCACACGCCCAGGGCCCAGCTCACCCGCCACGCACCCCCGAGCCCCCAAGCCCAGCTCACCCGCCACGCACCCCGAGCCCAGGGCCCGTTAGTTCTGCAGAACTGTGGCTGCGGGCCGGGGAGGCGCTTCTCCCCTTTCCCGGGGAGCCCAGGGCACTGGACCCTCCGCTCCCCAAGTTGCCGGGAGCACTCGGCAGTGGGGGGGAGACCGGGAGGCCTGGAATCCTCTGGAATGCTCTGGGGGCCCTGAGCATTGTTAGACAGACACAGGCTGATAAGGCGGGGGGCTGGGGAAGGGGTGGGGCAGGCCGGGAGAGACTCACACCCTGGGGGGGGCTGCTGCCTCAGAGACCCCCACCCATGGGCTGCCTGAGTGCTCCCCCAATGTCTCAGGTCTGAGACACGAGAAAGGGCCCCCAAGTGGTCAGGAGCACCTGCAGGCAGCCCAGGACACATGGACTGGGCCTGAGGGTGACCCTGTCTCTGACTCAGTTTCCCCACCTATCCGGCTGGAGGACCCTGGTGCCGACCAGACAGGCAGAGCAGGCCCCTCGGCCCGGCTTGCACCTGCGCCGGCTGTGGCCTGTGTGACGTGTCTGTGTGTGGACGTGTGTTCTGTGCTGGTATGTGCTGTGGTGTGTGCATGTGTGTGCGTGTGTGTGTGTGTGCCGTAGTGCCGTGTGCTGTGGCGTGTGCATGTGCGTGTGTGTGCTGTGGTGTGTGCGTGCCTATGTGTGTGCATACATGTGCACCGTGACGTGTGTCTGCTGTGATGTGTGTTGTGTGCGATGTGTGTGTACTGTGATGTGTGCATTGCTATGGTCTAAGTGTGTGTATTGTGGTGTGTGCATGCGTGTGCGCACTGGTGTGTGCATGCGTGTGCGTGGGGGAGGGGGAGGAGGGGGGACAGGGGAGGTCACGGGGAGGGGTCCCTCAGCCTCAGGAGATGCCGCTTGGCGGAGACTGCCAGCGGGGCTGCCACATCGACAAAGGGCTGGGCCGGTGGGCGGGCACAGGAGGCGGGAGCCCCGCCCTCAGGGCTGGGAGGGGGAGCCGACCCCCCCCACAGCTGCATCCAGATGGGAGGGGCCTGGGTCTCAGCTCCTCCCCAAACTGCAGGACCCTATGGGGACTCTGCTCCCTGCGGCCGGGGTGGGGGCCGCGGGGGCACAGAGGGTCGCCTGGCACGGTGCCAGCCTGGCCCGGGCACCCGCCACCCTCCCAGTTGTGCCACCTCAGTGGAGGGCTTCAGAGCCAAGGCTTAGCCACGTCCCCACAGGGGGAGGCCTCGGAGGTGGAGCTGGCCACACCCCATGGCCACTCGGGCTTTGTCCTGCTCTCCCTGAGTGCCCTCCCGGGAGGCCAGCGCCCCTGTGGGTCCTGTCTGGGGGCTCAGGGGTACCGTAACCTGTGCCTCCCCTGGCCGTGCCCGGGGCCGGGCCTGGGGTGCTGGTCCTGGGGTGACATGCCCCCAGGGCCGAGACGGGGGGGGGCAAGACCCTGCACTGGGACCTCAGTTTCCCTTCTGGGGTCTCAGAATCACACACACACATGCACCAATGCACACACAAGCACACGCACACCCAGGGCCCCGATATGCACACCCACACGCACGCACACACACGCTTGCTCGGGCCCTGCCCTCCTCACCCCACCGTGTGCACCCAACAGCCGGGTGGGGCGGGACAGGCACACATATCTGTGCACCCCTCAGAGAGGACAGCAGCTGCCAAGCAGGCTAGGGTGGGTGCACTGGCCTGAAACTGGACACTGGACGGCAGGGCCAGAGTCCTAGCCCAGCAGGGAGACGCTTGCCACGTAGGCGGCTGATCTAGGGTCCCTTTTTGCTTTGCTTTTCGAGTCACACCCGGAGAAGCTCAGGTTTCTCCTGCACTCAGGAATCACTCCTGGCGGTGCTCAGGGGACCCTAGGGGACGCCGGGGACTGAACCCGGGTCGGCCGCTGTACTTAGATCCCTGATCTGCATTCTATTCCCGGCACCCCATAGGGTCCCCCGAACCCACCAGGAGGGACCCTGAGCACGGAGCCAGGAGCAGCACAGGGTGTGGCCCAAAACCAAAAGTAAAAAAGGAAGCGGTGGCCAACCGCTCCCTGCCAGCCTGGCCGCCCTCACCGCCCACACCCATGGTCAGCGGGGCCTGCCCTGCCCTCCCTGAAGCCCGGGCGCTGCCTGTCCCTCCTCAATGCGCCCAGAGCCCTTTGGAGGAAGCGCGGTGGAATGAGACTGCGGTCAGGCCCGAGCAGGCGGATGCGGGATGGGCAGGGAGGGGCGTGGGCAGACCCTCCTCTCTGGCCCTGGGCCTGGCACCCTCCCAGCGGGGGCAGATCTCCCCTGAGCCTTGGGCTGCCTCCTTCCTCAGTTTCTCTGTCTCCAAGGGGGTTCTAGGGGTGCCCACGCCGCCCCTGCCGGCCTGAACCCCTTGGGACACCTGAGTCAGGGCCTCAGGGCCTCACCCTCCTTCCCGTCCCGGCTGTGGGCCCAGGAGGGGAGATGCAGCTTCTCACGGGTCTGCGGTCTACAGGGCTACGATCCGTTCATCTCCGATAAAGGCCAGAAACCAGGCAGCGAGCCAGGCAAACCTCCCCAGGGGCGCGGGGAGAACTCTCAGGCCCCTTTCTAACGCGCGGAGTCCAGCTGAAATGTCCCGGAGCTGTGTCCAGGCCCGGCCCCAGCACAGGCTCTGTGGGAGACACACACGGGGACATCGTTGGCTGTGCTCAGGGCCGACTCCGGCTCTGTGCTCAGGGCCGGCTCCGGGCTCTGTGCTCAGGGCCGACTCCTGGTGGGGTGGGCGTCCCTGTGGGGTGCCGGGGATTGAACCCGGGTTGGCTGTGTGCAAGGCGAGAACCTTCCCTGCTATCCTACCATCCAGCCTGGGTTTTCCTTGTTTTTTTTGGGGGGGTGGTAAGACCTGTTGGTGCTTAGCAGCTATTCCTGGTGCAGTGCTGGGGCCCCCCCCTCTGGGTGGTGCTAAGGGGCCCTCACGCAGTGCCAGGGAGTCGGCTGGGCCTCCTGCCAAGATGCAGAGCCTGTGTAGGGCAGGACAGCCCGGGGCGGGCAGGGGGTGGGCGGGGGTGGGGGCAGGGGCGAGGGCAGGGCCCAGTGTGTGGCTGAGCTGGGAGCAGCTTTGCAGGCTGGAGCCCAGGACGTGCCGTGTCCATCCTCCGGGCCCCTGCAGGGAGCGCTGAGGGGAAGCAGCCCCCCACCCGCCTGTCCCCGCCCCGCCCCGGCCTTTTTGGGGGACACTGAGGCCCAGTGCAGGGCAGGCCGTGTGCCCCATGTGTTGGAAAGCGCCTCGGTGGGTCAGTCGTGCAGAAACCAGAGGGTCACAAGACCACCAGGAAGGGGCCGAAGGGGGGAGTCGTCAGCGTGGACCTGGCAGGGCCCGCCCACGCCCCCGCCCACTGCCTAGCTGGACGGGGCGCCTTTGTCCTGGACTGGGCAGGGGACGGCTGCCTGCTTGCTCACTAGGGCGTAGATCAGACGGGTCCCAGGGGGCCATGAGGTGGCTCAAAGGCCTCGATTCACGGGGCCTCTGCAAGGCCCTGAGCACCCCTGGGTGAGGCCCTGAGCAGAAGCCAGAGCCGCTGGGGCATCAGGGTCAAAGGCCAGAGCCACCGGGGGAGTAGCCACAGGCCATGGGACAGCGCAGGCGGGAGGGGTGGCCCACAGCCCCCAGCTGCCCACATGCCTGCCGGGTCTGAACGCTTCCCCCCCACCCCACACACACACTGCTCCGGCTTCTAGAAGGTTCTAGAAGGCACTCTCCTGACGCAGCTGCAACCCCGCAGGGTCTCAGCACCATGAGGGCCTGGATCCTGCTCCTCGTCTGCCTGGCCGGGAGGGCCCTGGCTGCCCCGGTAAGACCCCGTCCCGGTCACATGCTCAGTCCTCAGCAGGGGGCGGGGGCAGAGCCGGGTCACCCACCACAGGAGCCCACCCTGCTCCTGCCCCTGACCCCCTCCCCCCCCCCAGCAGCAGGAGGCGCTGCCAGACGAGACGGAGGTGGTGCTGGAAGACACGGCACCTGCTGAGGAGGCCGAGGTAGGGAGGTGGTCGGGGGGCACGGCTGGGGGGCCTGTGCGTGCATAGGGGAGCACTGCCGGGGAGGATTATGTGGGTGGGGGAGCACCGCTGGGGAGGACAGTGCATGGGTGGGGAGCACCGCTGGGGCGGACTATGTATGGGTGGGGGAGCACTGCCGGGCAGGACTGTGTGTGCATGGGGGAGCACCGCCGGGGAGGACTTCATGGGTGGGGGAGCACCGCCGGGGAGGACTGTGCATGCGTGGGTGGGGGAGCACCAACGGAGAGACTGCGTGGGTTGGGGAGCACCACTGGGGAAGACTCTGCATGGGGGGACAGGGTCCCACATGCAGGTGGGGTCACCACTGTCTTCCACGTGCCCTTGTCCCCGCCCCTCCCCGTCGCTGCCCACTCACTGCCCGCTCCGCAGGTGCCCGTGGGAGCCAACCCCGTGCAGGTGGAGGTGGGCGAGTTCGAGGATGGCACCGAGGAGGTGGCCCCCGAGGAGCTGGTGGCAGAGAGTAAGTGCAGGGAGGGCTGAGGGTCTGGGGGGCATGGGGGACGTGAGGGGTCTGGCCGCTTCCACTCTGGGCTCGCCTCTGGGACGCCCCGGGACCCCCTGCTCAGCCACAGGCCCCACAGCGGCCCCAACACCCCATGAGCCCTGGCCCGGCCCACCCGCGCCCTCACCCCTGCCCTCGCCCCCAGACCCCTGCCAGAACCACCACTGCAAGCACGGCAAGGTGTGCGAGCTGGACGAGAGCAACACCCCCATGTGCGTGTGCCAGGACCCCACCAGCTGCCCCGCGCCTGCTGGCGAGTTTGAGAAGGTGAGGGGGGGGGCCGGTGGGGCCAGTGGGGCCGGGAGTCCAGGGGACCAGAGTGGCCGTAGACGAGCACGGGGCGCTGTGGGTGTGCGCAGGTGTGCAGCAACGACAACAAGACCTTCGACTCCTCCTGCCACTTCTTTGCCACCAAGTGCACCCTGGAGGGCACCAAGAAGGGCCACAAGCTGCACCTGGACTACATCGGGCCGTGCAAACGTGAGCCCACGGGGCGGGGCCGGCTGGGGCGGGGCTAGGGCGGGGCCGGGCGGGGCCAGGCACACAAATGTGGCTATGGGGGCGGGGCTACATCCATAGGGGCGGGGCCAGGGTGGGAAGAGGCGGGGCTACACTGGGTGGGGCGGGGCCAGGACCAGGCCTGACCTGCCCTGTGAGCGCCAGGATGGGGCCAGGGTGGGCTCTCGCTCTGCAGCACTGCAGGGCACTCTCCAGGCTGACCCTCTGATGGCCGCCCCGGCAGACTCTGGCTCCCCGGGGTGACACCCTCTGACCTCTGACCCGGCCTGGGGTCGGGGCACGGCGCGGCAGGGTCCCCACGTGTGGGAAGGGGCGGCCACCCCGTCCCCCGGCTCCTCCGGGCCCCATAGCACACCGGGCAGTGGTCCGAGGCTGCAGCCAAGGGTTTGAGCCGGAGCGAGGCGGGGCAAGGGCCGCGCTGATCCCCGCTGACCCTACGCCCCCTCCCCCAGACATCCCACCGTGCCTGGACTCCGAGCTGGGCGAGTTCCCCCTGCGCATGCGGGACTGGCTGAAGAACGTGCTGGTCACCCTGTACGAGCGCGACGAGGACAACAGCCTCCTGACCGAGAAGCAGAAGCTGCGGGTGAGTGGTCCCCCCCTGCCGGCGCGGGGCGGGGGACCGTGTGTGCGGGTGAGCGGCCGCGGGGCCCCCTGACCCGACCGTGTGTGCAGGTGAAGAAGATCCACGAGGACGAGAAGCGCCTGGGGGCCGGGGAGCACCCCGTGGAGCTGCTGGCCCGGGACTTCGAGAAGAACTATAACATGTACATCTTCCCCGTGCACTGGCAGTTCGGGCAGCTGGACCAGCACCCCGTGGACGGGTGAGTGGACCGCATGTGCACGTGCACACTCACGAGGGCATGGATGTATACAGGTGAGCGTGCGTGACTGCGGGTGTATGTGCACGTATGATGTGTGTGTGCGCTGCTGCCAGCCGCCAGCCGCCAGTTGGGGTCTCCCGGCCCCCTTCTCTGGCCGTGCAGGCTGTCCAGCTGTGTCCTGAGGCCGTGAGAAAGTCCCCTCTGTGTGTCTCTCACGCTGTCCCCAGGCTCCCCGAGCGGGGGCGGGGGGGCACAGCTGTGGGCAGCTGCCGGTCCCCAGCTGTACTGTGTGTTCCCAGGGGTTTCTGTGGGGGTGGGGCAGGCGGGAGTGGCCGCTGAGCCGCGTCTCTGCAGGTACCTGTCCCACACGGAGCTGGCACCCCTGCGAGCGCCCCTCATCCCCATGGAGCACTGCACCACGCGCTTCTTCGAGACCTGTGACCTGGACCACGACAAGTACATCGCCCTGGATGAGTGGGCCGGCTGTTTCGGCATCCGGGCCGGTGAGCGCCCCACGGGCACGGGAAGGGGCGCTTCCCCCGGCCCCCATCCGCCCTGCTTCCCCTTCCTGCCCTCACATCCGCTCCCTGTGCTATTCCCGGCCGGGGCAGCCCCAAGGGGGACGCGGGGTGTAGGAGCTGGGGAGGGGGGGCCTAGGGGCGGGGATGCTGACCGCCCTCTCCCTCCCTCGCAGAGGACATCAACAAGGACCTGGTGATCTGAGGCGCGGGGCCGGCCCCGGACCTCCCCTCCCCGTGCCCCACAGACGCTTGGAAGGCTCTGCCCGAGAAGGTGCTAATCTAACGAGAACTCCTTGGTGCTAACCCCCACCCCAACGCTCCACCACCCCTGCTCACGCACGGCCCCACCCCCAGCCAGGGAGGGGCGGCGGCCCAGGAAAGGGAGAGAGAAGCTGGCAGGTGCTCAGGCACCCGGGGGCTCCCTGGGGTCCCTGGGCGGTGGCCGGAGAGGGTCTCTCACCTGGGGGTTCTGCTCCAAGTTTGGGACCTGGAAGCAGCAGCTGCCAAAAATGCCCGCCTTGGGGTGCCCACCACACCCCACGCTGGGCACGTCGAGGGCAGAGGAAGTAGATGGACGAGAGGACTGGCCTGTGGGCTGCTCGGCCGTGCTCCCTTCACGCTCTGTCGCGAGGGGTCTCTCCCTCCAGCTCGCGCATGAGCCCTCCCCCCCTTCCTTCTGTTAATCACGAGAACCTTCGAAGTGTCTCCGGGCTGAGCCCGCGGCCTCCAAGCATTTCATGGAAAAGCTGCTCCCGATGGATCGTGCCAACTCCGCAAAACTGGAGTTTGCCCAAATAAAGTCATGACTTAGGAACCGCCTCCATCTGCCCTGCCGCACGCGAGTGACCTCCGCCGGCCCACCCGCCTGACCTCCGACTGCTCACCCACCCACCCGGGCCGCAGCCGCCGCCGTCCATCTGGCCATAAACACACCCACCCCCCACCTACTCACCCCTGGGCCAGTCTGCGCCCCGAATCCATCCATCCCTCCATCCTTGTGCTCACTCAGCCCAACATCTCCACGCCCATCCGCCCATCCATGTCTCTGTCCCTCCGACCATCGACCCACTCACCCATCCACCCAGTCATTGGCAGGTGTGTGCATGTGTCCATCCGTGCATACATCTGCCCATATGTAAATTCATCTGGTCAGCCATCATCCACCATCCACTTATCCTTCCACCCACCCACCCATCCACACACCCATCCATCCATCCACCTATCCACCCACCCTCCCACCCAGCCACACACCCAACCACCTATCCATCCACCCACCCATCCACCCATCCACCCACCCACCCACCCATCCACCAGCCAGCCACCCACCCACCTCTCCCCTGATCTGCCCACCCGCCCATCCTTCTGCCTCCCACCTGCCTTTGCACCATCCATCTGCCCCACGGTCCTGCGGGTGCCTGTACCCCACGGCCCACTGGACACAAGCAGCTGTCTGAAGACTGGATGATCAGTAGGGAACTGAAAACCTGTCCCTCTCCAACCTGGCTGCCCTGTGGGTGGTGCCTCTGTCCTGTGAACGGGTGCAGATCCTGAGACCCTTGGGGTCCCCAGCACAGACGTGTGCCATCCTGCTGGCAGGCCAGGGCACCCCCCCACTCTGTCCCCTGGGCTGGCCTCAGCGGTGACCCCTCTTGGGGCCCTGCCAGCCTCACGGGGGGGGGAGAAGGGAGAGGTGTGGATGAGGACAGCTATGGCCCTCGGACGGTGGCTGCTGCCCCCATCGCGGACCCATCAGAGCTTCAGGTGGGCCTGGCCACTGCCGGCATCTGGCGCAGTGGCTGCAGGACAGGCAGCATCGGGGTTCCCTCCTGGAGCCCCACCAGAAGTGCTCCCTGAGCACTGAGCCAGGAGTCAGTCCTGAGCACCAGCATGTGGCTCCAGCGAGGGATAAATCAGTACGCGAAGTAGGGGAGCAGGAAGTGGACGAGCAACCCGTGGAGAGCAGCCTGGCCAGGGAGCTGCCCCAGCTCACCCCATGGACGGTGGGGCGCCCCCTGCTCAAACCAGGGAGGTCCCTGCAGGTGCCCCCAGCCCCAGTCGAAGCCCATGTTCTCCACATGGGGAAACTGAGGCGTGGGGGGACTCTCAGGCACAGGAGGGGCTCGGGGTAGACGCAGGACCCCAGGTAAGCGTGCATGTCGGACACAGTAGACGTGCACACGTGTTAGCATGTGGACGCCAGACACTGACCACACACACTATGTTGGTCTCAGACACAGCTAACGTGTGTTAGTGCGTGTCAGATACCAGCAAACAGACATGCTGAAACATGCCACATGTACTGGCGAGTTGTCAGTAGGGAACATGGACTCGTGTGTCAGGCTGGTGTGTGTGTGGGGGGGGGGAGACACACGCATGTGCCAGCAGGGGGCGCACACACACCAACCAGCGTGCTGCCGAGTGCCAGGGGACACGTGTGCTAGCATGTCATGTCAGCACACAGCAGGGTTCGCGCACACATGTGTGCCTGTGCTGCGTGTGGTGGTCAGCAGGAAGCCCGCAGGAGGTCCCAGTGCGAGGGGCCAGGACTAGCTCGGCGGCGTCAGGCCTACGGGGACGGGGACGTGGTTCAGCCGTGCGCGAGGCGGGCCCTGGAGTGGCCCCGCAGGAGCCGGGGACGTTTGGGCTTTTCTCAGAAGCGGGTGGGTGGTGCACCGACGCCCTTTTGGTGGTCAGGGCCCTCGGCATCTGGGGGGTCTTGGCAGCCCACAGCCCAGGATGTCCAGTGCAGCCCCGGCAGGGGCCACCAGGGGGCAGCAGACCAGGCTCAGCAGGCCCTCCCGCCCCTTCCCCCCCCCCCACACACACACTGTCCCCCGGAGCCTGGCCCCCACATCCCCTTCAGACAGGGAGTCTCCAGGGAAGGTGCCCACAGATGGGTGCAGGAACAGGGGCTGGGAACAGCACTAGGGACAGACAGACAGACAGACGACGACAGACGGGCCCCGCACAGCTCCTGACCCTAACGGTGACCACAGGAACAGGGCACAGTCACCCCAGCAAGACGTCAGACACAGGGCACACCCTCCCCTCCACTGCCCTCAAGAGAGAGAAACAGAGACAGTAAGAGAGTGAGAGAGAAAGACAGAGAGACAGAGCAAGAGACAGAGGGAGACAGAGAGAGGCAGAGACAGAGGGAGACAGAGAGACAGAGAGAGGGAGACAGACAGAGTGAGAGAGACAGTGAGAAACAAAGAGACAGTGTGAGAGAGAGACACAGAGAGACAGAGCAAGAGACAGAGGGAGACAGAGAGGTGGAGAGAGACAGGGAGACAGAGACAGAGTGAGAGAGACAGAGTGAGAGAGATAGAGTGAGAGAGACAGAGACAGAGTGAGAAACAGAGAGAGACAGAGCAAGAGAGAGACAGAGGGAGACAGAGACAGAGACGTGCAGAGAGAGACAGAGACGGAAAGAGCAAGAGAGAGACAGGGTGACAGAGACACAGAGACAGAGACAGAGTGAGAGAGAGACGGAGACATAGAGACAGAGACAGAGGGAGACAGAGAGACAGAGACAGAGGGAGACAGAGAGACAGAGACAGAGGGAGACAGAGAGACAGAGACAGAGGGAGACAGAGAGACAGAGAGACTGCAAGGGCCGCTGGCTGGTGCCTCCCCGCCCCCGCCCCCAGCCGAGTGCGAGCATGCACGTACGTGTCCACCCCGCGTGCACACCTGAGCGTGAGCGTGTGTGTGCATGTGGGCGGGTCTGTCCCTCACTCCCGCAGCACCTCAGGCCAGTGCGGGCGGGCGGGATCAGAGGGGATTTGTGAGCGGGAGACCCCCCAGGCTCCACGAGGCCCCTCCCCTCCGCCCTGCGCAGTGGGTGAACTGGGCTACCCAGGCAGGGGCCGGGTTTGCACCCCCACCCGGGCCGGGGTCCGGTCCGGTCCGGTCCAGTCCGGTCCGGTCTGGCGGCTTCCCGCCTTCTGGGCTTCCCGGCAGGCGGGGCGGGGCGGGGCGGGGCTGCAGATAACATCGCGCTCCTAGCCCGGAGCAAGCCGATTTCTGCCCCTGGGAGGAACTGTTTTCTCTTGTTGGAAGGAGTCTCTGCTTGTCCTGGGAGCTCCTGCCAAGAAAGCTGAGAGGCCCGAATTCCTCACAGAGGCAGGGGCTGGCGCTGCTTGCGGGGGACCTGAGCCCTTCACCCCGTCCCTCTGCCCGGCGGGCCCCTCCCGCACCGTTGGGGAAAGCTGTGCTGCCACTGGACCTTTGCACAGCCACGCCCTCTCCATCACACCCTGTCAAGGGGCTTCTCTCACCCTCCCGGCCTCACTGTTCACCCCCGGCCCCTCTGATGGGCCACCCCCTTCCTGTGTCTCCCTCCCAACTGCAGGGCCCACGGGGGTGCCCAACACACCAGGGGCTCCGCACGGACCCCCCACTGCTCAGGAGCGGTGCCTAGGGCCAGGCCTGTTGGGGTGCTGCCCCACTGCGGGAAACAGAGACCCCCAAAGGGAAGACATTGCGGCGTGAACCCAGCAAGGGCCCCCCAGGAGGCCGGCAGACCTGCATTCAGCCTCCCGCCCTGGGCAGCTCTGCCCATGAGTCAGACGGGGTTTCCAGAAGGTTCCCAGGAAGGCAGCGCGGGCGCGGACTCGCAGGGTCCCCCCTGCAAGGAGGACAAGGGATTGGGTGCCTGCCCCGGGCTGCCCGCAGCCCCCGCCTGTGATGGGCACCCCTAGGTCACGGGGCGACGGGAGGGACAGGTGCCGTGGGCTGTCCAGGCCGCCTGGCCACGGGACAGGAGGGACAGGTGAGGCCACCCCCCCCCCCGTCCCCGACCACCTTTATATACGTGAAAACACGTGTGCATGAACCCACGTGTGTGTAGGTACATGCATGGGTGAAAGTACACGTGTATGTGGACCCATGTGCACGTGTGCACATGGGTGAAAGCCTGTGTGACTCGCATGTACAGGCACAGGTGGCTGAAAGCTTGTGTGTGAACCTGTGCATATGCACATACGGGTGAAACCACAAGTGTGACCCTACGTGGATGTGCACGCGGGTGAAAGCACACGCGTGCACACCTGTAAGTGAAAGCCTTGCCTGGAGAGTGGGTGGCAGCACGCGTGTGCACACATGTACACGTGAACACATGTGCTCACATGTGTGCCTTCTCCCGCTGTCCCTCTGAGCGGCCTCGTCTGGGCCACCTCCTGCTGTGGTCTTGGCCTGTCCCCCCTGCTCCCGACACTGTCCCCTGTCCTGCAGCTGCCCCCGTGGCCCCGGGATGGCCAGTGTCCTGCGTGGCCTCGGCCTCGTCCATCCTGGGCGGTGCCAGAGGTGCCCGGCTGCCTCCCCGGCAGGTCTGCGGGTGCTGTGGTGTGGCGGGTGGAGGTGGAGGGACCCCAGAACCGAGGAGGAGAGCTGGACACGAGGCTGGGTGGGCGGCTGGGCAGTGCCCAGGGACCTGCTGTCTCACCCGTGGGTGTGTGGCCCGCCCCCCCCCAGCTGCACAGTGAAGTGAGCGGAGGGCGCTGAGGGCGGCCGGCACCCCAGGACCCCTTGCTGGAGGGTCCCGGCTCCTCCCCTTTCCTCCTCTGCTCTGCTCCCCAGAGAGCCCCTGCCCGGATCCCAGTTGGCCCGGCCGGGGGGTGCGGGCACATCGCAGATTGGCAGGTGAACGGGGAATGAGGGTGGGGTCAGGCGGTGGGCCTGGGGCTGGACGCCCACCCCGCACCTGTATGTGGGTGGCTTCTGGGCAGCCGGGCACTGTCAAGGAGGGGCAGACGGCAGGGCCCAGGTGGGGCCCAGGTGGACGCAGGTGAGCACAGG